TGCACTCAAATCTGGCTTTACGTGTAGAGATTGAATTTAGATTGAAGAACAGAAATATCCTCTGAAAAATAACTGAAAAGTGATGTCAAAAGCTTATTATCAAGCTTGTTATCTCAGTGTAAACCAAATGAAGTCTGGTCCTGCTTAAACTTTTAGTAAAAGCTAGTCCATATTAATATAATTAGCAAAACCTGTATTGCAATAAACTGGCCTAGTCCCTTAGTGAAAGCTTTTACCATTTACAATTGTATTAATCTGGGAGGAAAGCCCACACAGCTGTGAGCTGTGTGCTTCTCTTTTTCTAAAACAACAGATAGCCAGTGATCTGAGTAATGTAAGGTATGACAGACCCTAGATTTGATATTTCAGATCTGAAAATCAAACTCTCATCTTTTCAGTTAGTGTCACCATGGTTGCAGTGATTTTTTTTGTTGTTGTTGTTTTTGTTTTTAGTCCAGATTCTGCCTCAGACCCTGGACCGTCTCCCTGTTCCTGCTGGAGCTGAATGTTTCCCATAGACCAGAATTTTTCCAAAGAAATTTTGCTTCGCATTTCTAACAGTATAGAGTACTGACAAGGGGATGGCAGGGGAAAAGCAAAAGCTTTTTCTGAATGTCAGCTGATGTGCTTCTGAAGGCACACAGAAAAATGAGATGTTGGGGTTCAGCATGCCAGTTTTCCAGACCCACTTTTAAAATTAAAGCTGCAATTAAAACTCATATACACAATTTTAAGTCTTTCCCCCCACCCCCCATTTCCACTTGTGGGAGTTCAAAGGCATGAAATGTCCTTTCCCTTACCTATTGTATAAGTATGCTTCAATTTAGCTTGTTTTATAACCACAAAAAAAAAAAAGTCTTAGTGTATATATATGACGTTTTCTAGAAGTTTGTTAAAGCATCACACGACTGATTTCAGACAACAGAAATTTAGAGGCTCATGAAGGTTCAAATGATAAAATTTAGTGTTATAGTTAAGAAAGTAATCTAGCAGGTTGTTCTCCTTGATTTTTTTCTTTTTTCCAGAAACCAGTTGTAATGTTTCATGTATCGGTTCCTTTTTACTCCCAAAGCTTGATGGGGAAGGTGGTTTCATCTCCCTAGCATGTCGCCTGCTGCTGTCCCTTCTGTCCCAAAACTGGTTTATGCTAATGTAGTAAATTACAAGTCAGACTTAAAACCTGGCTGCTGTGTGCTTTCTTCCTTGCTTTCTCTGGCATTGCTGATTGATGTTGGATGATAGTTTTCCAAAATTTTCCTTCACTACCCACCTCTCTGAAGTTTGCAAGGGGTAAAGAAGTGTATTACCTGCTAAATGCCTGACAGGTTAGAGAAGATGTCTGCTCTATTTCTATTAGCAAGGCAAATAAGAATGGATTTTGGATATTGGACAGTAAATAGATGTATTGAGAGAAAAAAAAAAAAGAAAACAATTGCATGTTAACGGTAGTGTCAGTGAGAGGGATGGGATTTTGAATACTCTTGAAGAAATACAAGGTAAGGTCATGGTTACAGCAGCTGGCTTAAGGTTGTTTTGTAATCCCATAATGAACTTTTCATGACTGGTTTTGTATAGTATTCTAAACGTATTTCTCAAATTTGAGTATGAACCTTCACATCTGTATACACTGAAGATCCTCTCAGTAAAAAGTAGAGTGGACAAACATTTGTATTAAGTCATAGGTTTATATATTAGACAGAGGCTGTCGCATTTTTATGCCTGGACAAAAGAAGAGGCAGCATAAACAATAATAAAATAGTTTCACAATATTATACAGTAGCTGTGAAAGATAAGGCTGGCATACTCACTGAAGTCCATAGCTGTGTTCATGCAAACTGCAGTGCTTCTGCAATGTTTTAGTGTTAGACTTGATTTTTTTTTTTCAATTACATGCTTGCGAGTCTTTTTATGAAACTCTGGTTTTGTTTGCTTAAGGATATATGGTTAAAACTACATAGTGTAATTAACTAAGAAGTATTAATAATCTTAAAGATCTTTGAGTATGTGGAATATTACACAGAACTGTCGCATTTTTTGATGTTGCATTGAGTTACGTGCATTGTGTGTGATGTGAAAGCAGAAGTTTGTCATGTACAGAATGCAGTTGTGTCAGTGAGGGTCATCTGGTTTACATCGTCGAATACACATGTCATTGCATGGAAACTCTGACTCCTGCTTACAGCGAGGCTTCCCACTTCGGGATGTTTGTGTTATGACTTACACGTAGAGAACAAATTTCCACTTCATGCAGGATGTTGAAACATGGAAACATTCCTCTCAAAGAATAGTCCCTTTTAATATACCTGGAGGATGCTGCTGACTGTGGGGCAGGGAAGACCTCGGTGCACCAGGGTTTGATGTTGGAGGAAATCATTCACACGTTCTGATCTTTGCACCAATATTTCTACCTAATTAGGAGTTTTCTACACAGAACAGCTGTCGAAAGTGGCAATGGCTGCTCCGACTGTTGCACGGATTCTTCCTTCACCATCCTTCCCCAGGAGAATAGAGAATTGCTGTACATCTTACCTGCTTGACTGGGAGCTCCTCACTTGCTGCTCTAGTGGAGAAATGCTGTTGGATTACAAGAATGAAAATTTCAGTACACGCTTGTAACGTCATCTGCCAAGATACGCCATCATATTGAGTTTACATCAAACACTTAAATGTTAGCAAAAAAGCTAACCAGAGCTGCTCCATGACATTTTATAGTCCTTTCTAGAAAAGACAAATTTTAGAAGTCACATTGACCTCAGAAAGTCCCGTTGCAGAATGTGCCAGTTAAGTTGACAGCTTGTTACATGTTGCAGCTGTAACAGCTCCTTCCTGAATTCTATATTGCTTTCATCTTAGGGAAATAAACAGCAGGCTATAGGGTGTCCTGCTGTAGCTATCCGTGTGCAGGGGAAAGGCACTCCTGCTCCCAAAGAAGCTTGTTCTGCTTGTTGTTTGAGGCTGCTTGAGGAGCTGAATGTGCCCCTCATTTTCATAAATCACTCTGGCTTCAGGAAACAGGGTTCTTGCTCTCAGATACAAATGAGCAAGTGTTCGAAATGAATTTAATGGCCAGCTTCTGCTGTTGGAGGTGATAAAAACTAGAACAACTCGATTGAAATAGGCAGGCAGTGGAGTTTGTAGTAAATTATCTTTCGCTCCCCTGAACATTTCGTCTGTCCAGATACAATTCAAGTTACAAATTCTGGAATGTGTCACTACACCGTGTTAAATTCCAGGAATTTAAAGAAGCTCCACACCCCTGTAAGCTTGTAGATAATTTGTTTTTAAGCTGTTGTTTCAGCATCCCTGACATGTAAAAGCAAACTTCCAGTAAACTCCTGTCCGTGTGTAGGTGAAACAAATGCCAGACTTTATTGCTTTCCTGTGCTAATACTAAAATCGGTGGGAATGAAGAAAATGCCCAGGCAGAAGCAAAAATCTGCTCCAGAATGACTGTGCTCAGCTAGCGTATTAATAGTTAACTCCGCAGCCTCAATGATCTGAATCTCTTCCAGGTGACCGAGCGCAGCACTGTTTAGCTTCCTGCATTTGTCAATGTGAAAAAACGCGCCTGGGCTCCCTCGCCATTGTCATGCTGCCGGGTGCCTTGCAGTGGTTCTGCTTCCTGAGCCAGAGAGCAGCAGCTGCTCCTTCCAGGAGTGAATCACAAAGCTCCTAATGCCTTCTCCTCCAGCACATGTGCCCTGTGCCTGTGTCGAGAGATACTGGATATCCATGGGGGCTGATTTTTTTTTTTTTTTTTTAAAAGCCTTTTGGGGTGATTTTGAAGTAGTCTGGGAACTGGCAAGTTGGCATCTTTGGCTTCACTGTTCATTTTTCTGTTTGCCTTCGGTCAGGTGATTTAGCCCTTGCTCTCCGCTTGTAATGCGCAACAAATCATGCCAGGGAGGGTTGCGAGCGTGCTTGAGTGTTTGAACAGCACGGTGAAAGCCATAGATACTGAAGCGCTTGGTACCCTTTCAGTTGCCTGATCTGATGAAGCTTGCCTATTTATCATAGGGACGATCAGAAAAGAAAAATAGGTGAGCTTAGGTAGGAATTTTGTGGGCGTAGTGTGAGTAATTGGAGTGTCTGTTGCCTTCGTTTGGTCCCAAAAAGCAGAGCTTCTTGAACAGTCATTTTCACTGTGAACACCCGAGGGGTGTCCGCATGCTCTTTCTAAGGAGTCTGCAGAAGAGAGGAGAGGAGCTACTGTTCATAGGCTAAAGTTCACTGTAATGGTGTCAGAAATCTCTAAAGGGTCCACAAATAGAATAACAGTATAAAAAGAAGATTGACAGTTAATAATCTAAAGCAAACCAGTACATGTTATTCCTGCTTCAGACAGGTTTTGCTGTGCAAGAGGATCGTGTCCATCCAATTAATACTCAGTGCTGCAAAATTGTTGTCCTTTGAGAGATCAGTAGATTATTCATATGCTTAGAAGAGCCAGGAATTAAATCTCTTGCATGCTGCCTTTTTGAATAGCAATATGTTTTCCTCTCCTATTGGTACAATTGTGGAGATTCCCTGATTTCTGAATGAGCTTGATCTTCTGGACTGTAGTGGAATGATTTGTTGTAGCTTTTCCCTGGGGTGAAAAGTAATTCTTATTTTAAAAAGGAAAAATTAAAAGCTGTGTTCTTGTTACTGCAGTATAATCCTATATTGCAAACCCTGCTGCTGCTTAACAAAATCCAGTGGGATTTGAGCACTTTTTCCCAGACACTAAACAATTTATACTTTCCCTTAAATGCAGCTGTAAAGGTGTCTGTCCTTACTGTGCTGCCACATAACAGCTGGGTTGCACGGAACACTCCGTTTGCTTTGAGATACACACTTAAGTCTTTGGATGTATATGCCTTTTTTCTTTTGCCTTTTTTTAAAATTATAAGATTGCAATTATGGTTTACAGTAACAGTGGGTAATCGTCTTAGATGCACTGTCTTCGAAACCATTTTCTCTCCTTTTCCACTCCATCTTCTTGTTCTCTTCCCACCCAGGCATCCCGGTGGACCATCCTCAGCTCTCTTCCCTCATGCTGAAGAGTCCCCTGGGCTTGAACCCGGCTTTTCAGGTGAACTTGAACGCAGCTGGCCAGGGTTCATCTCCTCTTCTGAGTCCTGTCCTCAGTGATGCTGGCAGTGCCAGGATAGAAGAGGATGATGAAATGAAACGTAAGGTAAGATAATGACGTGACTGGGAATTTATGTCACGAGAAAAGTGATGGTGTCAGGTGAGGAGCTGTGCTTGCTGGTCACTGAATGTTGGTTGCATTATATTTTGTGGTAGAACAGATGTGTTTGGTGGCTAGTGTTAAAAACTCCAGTGCTGAAGGTTTGGTCGGGTCTGTGTATGTTGCTGTTGTGGCCAGAGTCCCCACTGCCCTCTTGGCATAGGGGTTGTCTTGGCGTCTGCTGCTGGGACCACCTTCTGCTGTTTTAGCAGGAACTGCTGCCCAGGGCCCCAGTGTGGCAAGGAGCTGTGCTTGAAATCTGCCTTTTATACCCCAGAATGGAAATGAGTTCAGATTGGATATTAGGAAAAGGTTCTTTACTGAGAGGGTGGTTAGTGCCTGGAACAGGCTCCCCAGGGAAGTGGTCACGGGACCAAGCCTGTCAGTGTTCAAGTTGCATCTGGACGATGCTCTTAGTCATATGGTTCAGTGTTAGGCAGTCCTGCAAGGAGTGGGGAGTTGGACTCGATGGTCCTTGTGGGTCCCTTCCAACTTGAGATATTCTAAGAGGCATGGCTTCTTGAGTGAGCTGTTTGGGGGGAAACAGTTGATACGTATTTGATGTAAAACAGTAGCGGTGCACTTGGTGCCTTTTGGGCTGTAATTATTACATTAGAATGCAAAAAACCCCTTCTCTTTGGGCTGAGACTATTGAATGGACACTGCAAAGCAGGTGAATTGTTCAAGGTGATTCTCGCCAGGGCAGTAGTCTGAAAGGCTGGTGGCAGAGGTGGCTGTCAATTCTGGAAATCGGTTGCCTTTGGCTCATTCAGTAATGAAAAATTGTGTCACGTGGTGACGTTGAACCTGGCCTTGTCTTTGCTGAATGCTGTCATGTTTAATCCGTGTCAGCTTACTGGACTGTGCTGTCTGTGCAAAGTGCTGTGTGTCACTAATAAAAATGTGTTCTAAAATAATTTCATTTACCAGCATAGAGAATAGCACAGAGCTACCACTTCTTAATATGTAAGATATGTTCTTCCTAGGTTCCTTACTTCCCACGCAGTCTTACCATGTCTCATTGGTCCATCTCACCATACGGTCGTCCTCCAAGCCATTCTTTCTAAGCATAACAGGACCTTTAGAGCGGTCCTGAGGTATCTCCCCTCGGGCTGTAGAGGACCTGAGCTCAACTTCAGCTCTCTCAGCAGCAGGCATCGTGGTGCATCCTCTTACACCCAGTCATGGGCTTCTTCAGCAGAGCTGGCTGTATCACTGGAGCTGCCCCCTCCATGGCTGACTCTTGTCTGGTGAAAGGCGGACAATGCTCTGGCCTTGTGGAAGCTCGAGGCTTGCTTTCTGAAAAGAGGGGGGGCAAAAATACCTCTGACTTTTGTGGCTGCAACAAGTCTCAAAGCAGGAACAACTTTGGGTCTTCAAGATGTGCTTATGTCTAGGTACTGATCCTTAGCCTAGGCCGCTTTCCTTTCTTTCCACCGGTAAGCACTGGTTGCCTTAACTGGAAACTCCCCGACACGATGTGGGGTTTTCCTCGCCCCCATGTAGGGCTCAGGATTCACCCTTGCTTTCTCAGGTAATCCTAATATAAAATGTTTTTGTTCTGGAAGGATTCCACCTTTAGTCTTTGAGACATGAACTTCAGCTCCTCGCTCTGTTCTTCAGCTCCACTGAAGGCCTCTCTGCCCCAGTGCATCATCTATATCCATAGCCTCTTGTGCACTGGAATGCTGCAGAGCCTTTCTGAAAGGTGAAGGAAGTGGTGGTAGTCCACAGATTCTGACCACTGTCTCCTGGGAGCTTCTCCAGAGTCTTACGTACTCTGTGCAGCAAGCCTCCTCTTGCCTATGCAGCAAAGCTGGTGTACTGCTTCATACTGACATCTGATCATGAGCTTTGGTAAGCAGTGGCTTCATGTGCCTCCACAGTTTTTCAAAATGATAGAGATGGCCAGATGTCAGTGTGTGATTCAGATTTTCTCTTTTATCCACACTGCACCATGTTATCAGGCTTTCACAGTGGTTGCTAGCAATAACAAGAATCTGCAACCACAGAATCATTGAGGTTGGAAGGGACCTCTTGAATCTTCTAGTCCAGCCAGCTCCTCTTCCTTAAGCAATGACTCCAAGCATTTAGATGCACTTGGGAGAAATAGATGAGTGTGTGCATATACATACATTGATGCATGCATTCTTTGACCACTTTTCAGATGTGGATGACAAACTACCAGACTTTGCCTTTGTAGGGGCATGGTATATACTGTTTGACAAACTGCACTCCACAGAACACTGCATTTTTCCTGGTGAGATAGAGAAGTCCACCTAACAGCAGACTTCCATGATCATTTTTCTGCAAGCTGCTTTTCTCCCCTTGCCTTGCCTGCTTGCAGAGGGAGAGTGAGCAGCCAGGTTTATTGACTCTTCGGTACTTGAGAAGGATCCAGGACCTTCCATTACAGTGCAAGGAAGGCTCCATCGTCCGAACTCAGTTCCTTATGGAGTCAGCAGCCACACTGTAATCTTATAGTTTTCTGTGCAGCCTTGAAGAAACTACCTTGTGTGCTCTTTACTCCTGCTCTTCTGCTTGCCCCATCCAATGTTCTGGTTGTCTTACCTCTGTCAGGATCTATCAGGCAAGAAGGTCACAGGCCCATGCTGTTTGCTGTCTTCACCATGTCTTTGGGTACTTCTTGGTGCCGGCAGGTGCGAGCTTGCTCACTCTTGTCTCAGCTGATGATCTGGAGATCCCTGCACTGTATGTCCTGACTCTCAACTGCTCAGGAAACACACAGAAATCTCACCACAAGCAAAGGTGGGATTGTGTGCACACAATACAGTGGAACACTACTTTTTCCAAGTGGGGATATTTGCCTTGACGCCTGCTATGATTGTAGGAATGTTTTCTTTGGACTTTGGAAGCAGACTGCCTCCTCAGAGAGTTCTTGTGTGTATTTTTTTTCAGACATGTATTGATTTTCTTTCCTCTTGCAGTGCCTGATGGGTAATGAAGGTGTTTCACAGAGCCCCTATTGCACTGTGACAGCCGTACTGCTTTTCGGTGCTTCTGGTACAGGGTCTGCCTAGCAGCTGCTGCCAGGACTCAGCACAGGGGATTCAGTTAGGACTGGTGCAAGACCAAAAAAAAAGAAAATTAAGGGCACTAAATATCAGCAGGGAGCAATTTGGAAAGCAGCAGGAACTTCAGAGAGTAAACAGAAAGTGATGATGCAGTGAGGAGGGAGAAGGGAAGAGAAGATGCTTGGGAAATGAAAAGCATCTTCTGTGCCTCAAGCTAGCACACGTCAGCTGGAGCATAAAGTGAAAACCTGCAGAAGTGCTCAAAGGTGATCTATGCAGGCTATGAAAAGCGTGAGGTTGTGGGCATGGTATGTTTTCGCATGCCTTCATGTTCTGTAAGTTTTCAAGGAAGAAACAATCCAGAAGAATATTTCTGAGAGTGGGGAAAAAGCACTCGAGTGAGGGCCAAAGCACAAGGTATGGACGGAGGACAGTCAGGGTCCTTTCCAGGGTTCTCAAGAATATACTGGTTGATATACATTGCTTGAGGGTAACTCTTTAAGCAACTGTTTAAATGGGTATGAGGTGGGGGCGGGTCCAGGTGAGCTGGGAGGCTGCTGGGGAGTCGCCAGAGAGGAGAGGTGATGCTGAGGAGAGGGATGAAGCCAGCAGATGCACATGTGTGCAGTGATGCTGTGCAGAGCTCGCAGCAGGGTCATCTCTGCCGAGGCTAGAGAGATGAGGCTCCCTGAGATCTCCTGTTGTCGCAGCCTCTGGTTGATTCCATAACCCAGTTTTGCTTTGCCTTGGGAAACTCTCTTTTTTCCATAGAAGTTAGTCCCTTAAGGGCATTGTGCGTTCTAATATCCTGTGCAGAGCCTGGGAGGAGGTGCACACAAAGCTGCGTTACACAAAAACCATACCTGTTTGGCAGTAATTCTCATATCATGTAAGAGGCAGCTGAAGTTATAGTCAAGCTAGTGTGTGTTGGTTGATTCCATTGGTTGATAAACAGGGTGTTTCAGGACAGGTAAGTACTGCAGGAGGAAGCTAGCTGGTAAGTGAGATAAAAGAGCTGTGTCACTTCGGTCTCCAGGGAGGTCAGAAAAATGATGTCCTTTCCTTTGGGAAGACGTTGTTTGAGAAGGATGCCCACTGAGGTTCAACAGCATTTTGAGGGTTTATGAGGCTACAGTCAGGTAAATAGCTCAAGAAAAAATAAAAAATACCTGAAGCCAAGATTAGGTAGGACTTCCCTGACACCAGGTACCTGAGACAGGTATGTTGAAGTTAAGAGGATGGCTGTGGAGGGAATAGAAGTGTGTCCTCTGGTTCCTCTAGGGAGGGTGCTGATGTGTGGGACTACACTAACTAGCATAAAATAACCTGAAAAGAGGCTGGATAGTTTCTCAAAATTAATTATTTGGGAATACACACCTCCAGGGATTCTATGTGTCTAAGATGGACTCAATTGATACATTACTGAGCAACCAGGAAAACGTCTCCTCCATGAGCAATATTGAGATGGAGGATTTAGAAGCACTGAGTAGCTGTGCTGATGGCACTGGAGGGCATCTCAAAGCATCTCTCAAAAGAGAATTTTTTATTAACTTGGTACGTACAAGGAAAAGGGAGAAATAATTTTCAAAGCTGTGTTACGCTCAGGAGGGGCAGAGATGGAGGCCAAATTTTGACGTAACTCAAATGGGTTTGCTGTCATTTATTTTTACTGGGTGAGGATTTGGCACAAAACTGTGGCACGACATAGTGAGCTAAGGAGACAAAGCAGCATCTTAGCTTGGAATGTGATTAGTTCCTTAATAGTATTTACGTGATTTTTTTAATAATGTATGTTTTCAGGTTAACTCTGATTTTGGTTCATTGCAACTGCAGAACATATCTCTTCACCATTTCATTCCTTTGTGCTTCCATGTCCATTCTGTCTTCTCTTTTCTTTAAATAGCAGCCCTGGAGCAACCATGCAGCCAGCAACTGATGTAGTATGATTTTTGTGTTTTCTTAACTAACTAATATGATCTTCAAAGGATTTGCGTAAAAGTTGTGCGTGGAAATAGAATAGTTTTGGAAAAGGACTGTGTTGCAAATCTGCTGTACTTTGATTAAAGAAGTGTTTAATACCTAGGAGACTTGGAATAACTGTTTCCATATTTTTGTGAAGTGCTCCCTTGATTTTGAAATAGAAGTTCATAAAACTGGTATATAATTGACATTATTTTTAAATAATCTTGAAATATAAATATTATTTTATAGCAAAGTCAGTATCTGAGAATACGGTACTGAATACAGAGATGTACGGTTAGTAATCAAGTGCTCCATTTGCACACAGCAAGGGGAAATGTATGTAGGGTTTGAGCTTGTGCTTAGTAATGAATAGAACATTTATATTTGAATACTTATTGATTACTGTCTGTTCTTTCAGCGCTATCCAACTGACAAGGCATACTTCATAGCAAAGGAGATTCTTGCTACAGAACGGACATATCTAAAGGACCTGGAAGTTATTACAGTGGTAAGGGCTTTTTAACTTTCTTTAATGCTTTTCCTTTTCTTAACAGATTTGTAATTGTTAATTTGGAAAAACTTGGACTTTTTTCCAGGTAGCAGAAGAAAGTCCTATGATAAAGCATAATCCATGAGCCATGTAGCATTACCTTCCTTGTTCCATAGGTCCTCATGTGGGAGAGCAGATATTTTCTCTGGACCTCTATTGTTAGCTCCAATTGCTACATTGCATATCATTTTGATTTGTAATATTCACATCCCTTCCAGAAATCAGGGAACCGAAAGTGATTAAAAGTGCAGTATGAGACACGCAACAAGATGTCTCTAGCTACTGAATAACTTGCACAGGGCTTCAAGTTTTATGAAAGAGCAGTTGTATCTGTGTTGAAGTGAAGGCAGTGGTGTAACATCAGCTGTGGCAGCCACTTGGTAACTGACTGTAATTTAGAGCCATTACCAACCATCTCATCATTGCTTGTGCCCAGAACCAATAAGCCTCATATTTGTAATGTTTGGCAAGGAAAGAAATTGCATCTTTTCATCTTTCCCAGATTATGTCTTCCCTAAATATTTCTCCTTCCTTCCTGCTGTTTCCCTGTGTACACACTTTCTCCCCCCCCCCCGCTGCAGGAGCAGAAATTTGTATGCTAGTGATTAATTTCTTAAATAGAAAAATTTGTCATAATTTATGATTTTTCTGGCAGTGGTTTCGCAGCGCAGTCATCAAGGAGAACGCTATGCCAGAGGGCCTGATGACATTACTCTTCTCTAACATAGACCCAATTTATGAGTTTCATCGAGGCTTCCTGAAAGAGATTGAGCAGAGGCTATCGCTCTGGTAAGCGTTAATAGTGCAGCGCATGGGCAGTGAGTGGGGGGACCTTTTCCTACATCCTCATGTCAAAATTGTACTTAATCTATATTTGAACTGGTATTTCTGCATGAGTAAAATCAAGGAAAAGGTCTTTTAATAAATTATAGTTTTAAAAACAGTACTAAATACAGTTTGCAAAGCCCATTTTTCAAGCACTGCCTTGTACATAATATCGCATGAATTGTACACCAGACCAAGGTTTTTGTAATCAGAGTTATTTAGGTTGGAAAAGACCCTTAAGATCATCGACTCCAACCGTTAATATAACCTGGTGGTGTCTCTCTAGCCTTAGAAAAGAGGAGGAACACAAGGTCAAAAAGAGAATGTGTGTTTTTCAACACTTTCCAGTTAATGAATCTCCAGGTGAAAATATAGGAAACACTTTTTTGTAATTAAGATTAGAGTTCAGTTCTTGCAACACAATTTATTTCAAAAAGCATGTTTTTAGTCTTTTAACCTTTTTATTACTTTCTCCTTACCTGAGATGTAATATATTAGACTATAATTACCATTCAAAAGGAGGTGGTTAATGTAAATGAAGTACAAACAAAAATAAATTCATAAATCCAGGTGGGATCATGTTGTGACATTTATTCAGAAGTCTGAGAGGTTAAACTCCCAAATAGACTTTCACACAAATTCATTTCTATTCCTTTCCCAGTGTTCTAAGCATGGCTTTGTTATTTTATGTAGCCTCCAGATTTACTGTACCAAGTTTTCAACCCTAACAGTGAAATGGGAATGTGAAGTGGTTAAAAATGGATAGAGGAGGCATTAATGTTAGTACTGCTTCCCTTAATTTTACTAAAGCAGTCCTTAAAATACACAGATACCCAGGAAGTGTTTCGTAAAGATTACGTCTTGAAGTACAGGGGAAGGTGGAGGGATGAAATTGACATTTCTTGATCTCCCATGTCCTGTGCCTTCTTATTTCATCTCCTTATGTGTGTTTCAGGGAAGGAAAAACCAATGCTCATGTGAAAGGAGATTATCAACGCATTGGAGATGTCATGCTCAGGAATATGCGTACTCTAAAGGTAGATAAAGGATTAAAAAAATGGAATCGCAGGATTGTTGAGTCGTTTTTTTCCTTTTGTCGAGGATGAGAGTTCAAGGTGTTTAGTATTTCCACTAAACTTGAAGTGACTTGCAAACAATTATTGTTGATAAACAAATTAAAAAGAAAATGTAATAAAATATCTACAGCAAGGGTTTATACCACTGTTGCTTATTTAACCACCTACATTTATCTTGAGAAAAGGTTGTTTGTTTATTGGTTATTCAGCAGAAGACAAAGAAAAACTATTTAATTAGCTCCACCATCTCTCCTACATTTGCACAACGCGAACTCTCCCCTATGGAAACACTGTTTCATAAGGTGGTTTAATTCCAAAATCCAAATATTTTTTTAACTGCAGAGTAGTTTCTTCTGAAATGAAGTCACCTTTATTTGGAGTGCCTTCATGGGACAGTTACGCTTGTGCTATAGCAGTGAAGTAATTATTCCATTAAAACCAGTGGCTTGAATAGGAGTGCAGAAGTGTGTGACTGCTATTCTGACTATCAGCGCTCTCTGTATTTGATATTTGCAGCAGGCATGGGCACAGTGCTGCACAGACACCTAGTTTGACCCTGACTGGGAGCTGCCTGCCAGTTTCTTTAATAGATAAACCTAGATGAGACAACCCTCTCAGCTCACTTCTGCCTGTCCTAGAAAAGTCTGTAATCAACAAGAATTGTCTCAGACTGTGAAGTATTAATGGGTGGTGCTACCGGCTGTTCTCATCAGTGGCACAGGAAGGCACAGCTGCAGTAAACAGCAAACAGAGGACAACCAAGCAAATATTTTTATTTTTGATACTGTTGTGTTTTTTTTTTAAATGAAGTTGTTGAAATATAATGTTGTTAATGCTATTTTTGTCAGTATTTAGGAGAATATATGCAGTCTTGGCTTATATAATCATGGTCAGAGACAAAAGTAGAGCTGGGATTGGATGTTTTTTCTTACTCACTGTGAAATCTATGAAAGACTGTTTTCCTTTGAACCGAGTAATTTTTTGTATGGTTCAACAGGAGTTTACTAGTTATCTGCAGAAGCATGATGAGGTCCTGACAGAACTGGAGAAAGCAACTAAACGCCTAAAGAAGCTGGAAACAGTTTATAAGGAGTTTGAGCTGCAGAAGGTTTGCTACCTGCCTCTCAACACGTTTCTGCTCAAACCGATCCAGAGACTGATGCACTACAAGTTGATCCTGGCGAGACTTTGCAAGCACTACACAGCAGAGCACCGGGACTTTGCAGATTGCCGGAGTGAGTGAGCACTCAGCTGTATATGTGCAAGGCAGAAACCCGCTCCCATGTACATAGAAAATTTTGCCCGTATCCTGTGGGAGACAACAAGCTTTACATTTACAAGTTCAATGTAAACACTTTTTCTCCATTCAGGACCTCTCTGACTCTTGCATGCAGGTCTGCAAAATACACAGGAACTTTGATTTAGATTGCTGAAAACACAACTGCTTAGTGAATACTGTAATTTAAATATCCTGGGGAAAAAAAACAGAATACACCAAGTAGAACAGCAGAAAACTGACAGAAGGCAGATTAATTAAATTTAAAAAAAAAAAAAAAAAGTTTAGCTTATGTTTTAAAACTAACTTAGTTTTTCTTCAAGGTTTTCGGTACCAGGTTTCACTACCCTCCTGCTGTGCTCTAGTGCAGGGCTTCGAAACTTTCTGCAATAGATGGAAAATTGCCTTAACTGCTAGTTTGGAAAATGAAGAACAACTTAGATGTAGACTCTTCCCTTTGCATAGAATGAATGCTTTTTCTGGCATTCCAGAAAGTGGTTTTCTCGTGGTAATCTTGATGGATCTTAATGTTTCAACCAAAGCTGGAAAATTAGCCATTTTCTTGTCCCCTTTTATAGCAGGGGAAAAAAGTAGGGTTTTTTAGGAACTCTTCGTCATTTATAAGTAAAAACATAACAAAAAAATAATTGCTTTGTGGTGTCAAAAACTTGCATAGTATATTCCATTCATTTATAAAGTCATCTTTGGCAGAAACAGTTGGCTTCAATTTTTTAATTTACTTTTGGCTATGTGGTAAATAGTTATTATATGTGCAAAATCTGAGATACCCAGTAATCTCCAGAAGTATAGGAAGTGCTATGAAGTTGCTTGCTCATCTCCATTTTACTCCTAGGTAGCTATAAAATATGCTTTAAGAAGTTGGCAGTTGGACTAGATGATCGTTGTAGGTGCCTGCCAACTGAACTATTCTGTCCTATTCTAAATCTGACTATGAATTTCAGATTCAGTTTTCCAGGGATAAAACTGGTGGCCGGGGTTCGTCTGCTCTGTTCTGATCCCCTCGGTGCCATTTTCCTTACAGATGCACTGAAGGAAGTCACAGAAATGACATCTCGGCTGCAGCACAGTCTCATCCGCCTGGAGAATTTCCAGAAGCTAACAGAGCTGCAGCATGACTTGATTGGTATAGATAATCTCACGGCACCTGGTAGGGTAAGTACCTTTGCTTAGTTTTTTTAGAGCCTTTATTGTTTTTATTGCCGAGGAAGTGCCTTTCAACCATGTATTTGCCATCACTGCCTCTCTGTTTTATGGAATGACTGTGAAGTCTTTGTATAATTGTCTTTGTGGTAGGTCCCATAGGTCTTGGTGATGTCCTAGAGAATAGATCAAAAATGCTTCTCCTTAGACTCCGGCTATGCTTTTGTGTTGACAATACAGCAGATTCTGAGTATACTGGGGTATGGTGCTCTGTGTTTGAGTGGGAAGCAGCATGTCATGTACTTGATAGGAAATCCACTACCAGGTCTGCTTATGTCTGTCTGCAGACTGAGACTGCATGGAGAACGTAGCGATGGCGAGAGCCACGTCACTGGGCAAAACCAGTGTCGGTGACTCTGTTTTTCTAGGAGTTTGTTTAGTTCCTGCTTGGTTTTTTGTTTCTTTGTTTTTGATAGATATACTGAGCGTAAGTACAGGAGCATCGCATATGCTTTTGGGATGCTATGGCAATCACTGCAGTGGGATGTAAGTGTAATAGGTGAACTGCTGGTGTCCGACAGGAACTCTGCTCCTTTTCCTTCTCTTGCTTGCTTGATTTAAATGCTGGTTGCAGCAAGGAGCTGATTCATGGTACAAAACAGAAAGAAAGGTGTCATCTGGCATTTAACAAATCTGTTGGCGATCATTGCTGGGTACCAATCAACATCTGTATATTCTGGGATGGGAAAAAAACACCATTAAAATTCTCTGTGTTTGGGAAAGATCAAGCTTTGCGTAACTTCCTATTTTCCACTGCAGGAGTTTATCCGGGAAGGTTGCTTGTACAAGCTCACTAAGAAGGGTTTACAGCAGCGGATGTTCTTCCTGGTGGGTGTTGCTTCTGGTTTTCATAAACCCAAAGTCTTCAAGATAAAGTTGTCGTGAAAGTGTGTTTTCATGTGTTTGTGATGAAAATCAGCAATCCCTCACCCTGAGGGATTTTTAGATAGAGCGTGACTGTGACAATACTGTCTGTTCAGCTTGTTTCCTTAATGGCACATAGTTTTAAGAGAATTTTAAAAACTAATTGTCTCTCTTTGTAAGTAAATGAAAGAGTGGTTTTAAGGAGAGTAGGCCAAACTGATTTGAGATATGGTGTTTTCTCATGTGTCGACAGTGGCCTTTAAACAACAGATTTTTAAAAATATGTCAAAACATACTTGGACCTACCTGCTGTCTTCAGAATATTGATTGTATTCTTTCTGCCTTTTTCAGTTCTCAGATATGTTACTGTACACAAGCAAAGGGGTTACAGGGACAAATCAGTTCAAAATTCACGGACATCTTCCTCTGCATGGCATGTTGGTAAGTGGTTTCAAGTTGCATCACAGCATTAAGGAAGTGACTTTGCCTTAAGGCCGGTTGAGGCATTCCTTCAGGGCACGAGGACCAACGCCACAAGCTGCTCCCAGGCCAGTGACGGCAGCCTGTGGTGCTGCTGGCCGTGGACTGGACCTTTGCGTGCCACAGCCTGTGTGTCAAAGACTTGTCTGCAGGTATTACGCTTGTTCCTTCCATCGCATTAGCAAAACGGCTGGAGCACCCTTTTGACCATTCTTTTTCATGCTGCTGTGAGAGGCTGATCTGGAAATTGGGATTTGTCCTGGTGTTTTTCCCCTGTGCACACACCTAGGCATATAATCAGTCCTCCTGCCTCCCCACCCCCCTATTCTAATGGGACTGTTCTTTCTGTGTTTGATTTGCAGCTGATAGTGCTCGACCCACCGGTAAGTAATAAGCTGAATCCTGCTCAGAACCCTTCTTTTCTTGCCCTGTTGGATGTGGTGCTGTGCCACTAGAGATGCGGCAGTAGAAACGCACAATATAGATTTTCACGTAGAGCCAAAATAGACTTGAAGTAGGTGGTATTCCTAAAAGAGTAGCTGTTTTGCACTTACTGCAACCAGGTTGTAATCATATTTGACTCAAATTCCTAGCCAGCTAAGGACAGTTTTAGTGTTTGTCAGTCACCAAGCAGTGATGAGAAAACCCTTTTATTTTTCTGCAGGTGGAGGAGAGTGAGAATGAATGGGCCGTCCCACACTGCTTCACCATCTATTCAGCACAAAAAACCATAGTGGTTGCAGCAAGGTAACATTTATTTTCTCAGTTGCCTGTAGGTTTGATAGCTGCCTTCTCCAAAGAGTTACTGTTCAATTGTTTGGTGCAGGGCCAGGGTGGTGTGTCATGTGTCCTCTGGAAAGCATGACTTCAAAACAAACACAGGACACTTCACAACTCCTTTATCAGTGTTGCGTTTTGGGAAGGAGTAGTTTATGTCACTGAATTGTGTGTTATTAAACACCCAGCAGCAGTGATAATGTTGCCATTGTGATGTTTTCTAGTTAGCAGAGTTGTTGGTGTCATCCTTTAAACAACTGCTATAAAGCAGGAGACAAAACAAAATCTAAATGTACAAGTATTTTAGAGACCCCAAAAGAATTAAAATCCAGAACATGCAAATGGATGTAACGAGGGGAGAATTCTGGCATGGATCTCATGGAGGAAGCTGGGAAGGGAGAGGAAAAATTAAAGGCTGGCTTGGAGAGAAAACTGTTACCATTTCAGTGTAACTTGTCCCTGTGCAGTGAGTTTCGTTTCTTTTTTTACTTTATATCTGAAATATATTTAGGATGTCTACTGAACCTGTTCTCTCAGGATCAGCTTTAGGAGGTTTTTGTCCCTCTGCAGGTCCCCTAAAAGGCAGCTGGAGTTGGGTATGCTAAGAATGCAGGATGGGAGCACTAAATCTCAACCTTAAATTTATAGTGTTATTTAGTGTTTGATAACCTGTTCTTGAAAAATAACCATGACTGAACATTTATAAATCAGGTATGTAGTGGCACAGGAGCCAATACTTCTTGGTATGCAGACATATTCAGCAAGCAAAACTTTTTTTTTTAATTCCAGCCTAATGCCTCAAAATGTCAATTATTTTTAAGATCAACCGCTTCTCAGCAGCTGCGAATCAAAAAGTGCTTGAAAGGTTCTTATATTTGGAAAAATAGATATAATTTTTACCTTGTCATAACTTAGAAATAGCTCAAAGGTGGTTGTTTTTCTTATGTTACCTCTCCCTACCTGTCAAAAAAAAAAAAAAATTGCTGCTGGGATTAGACCATGCATGGAATTTTCGGTCTAAATTAAAAACTTGCAGAAAAAAAGAGATAGTTACCAAAAAAAGTCCCACAGACCCTCCCAAGCAAGAGTGTGTAACTGTATATAGCAGTTCAAACAACAATTGTGCACACAGCAAATGTAGCCAGAGGTAAAAAATAAATGCTGTGGCGATGTCTGAAGGAAAAGCTTATGCTGTTGCATGCCGCTGGATATAGATACACATATATGAGCTGTAAAGCTCTTACCCTGTAATCATGGTGTGAGCCACATAACCCATAATGGAAACTATGTGGGGTGAAAGAAGTCCTCATCTTCCTGCACTCTGTGTTTTGCTTGCTTAAGATATAACGTAAATCCTCTGTCCCGTTTAAAAGATGTGCTGTCTTTCAGGTTGCCTTTTATCCTGCAAAAAAATCCTTTCCGGTATGGTCCTACCACCCATCTCCTGCTTTTTGCAGGGAAAACATGATTTCATGTTTGAAATAACCGACCAGCTATGAAGCTCTCTGTACGAAGAACAGCGATGGCCTAGACCCCACAATTCCTCTTCTGAGTCCGATAGCTCCAGAGGGTGCTATTATGTGACCCTCTGGCTGTCTATTCATTTGCTTTGCTATGAAGTCCCAAGTTTTTAATGGTTATTTCAGTCTTGTTTCAAGTCTTGAAAGTAGATGTGAAGGCTGTATGAGGTCAGCTTCCTGTCTGGAAAGCTCATGCTTTGGAGGAATTTTTATGTTATTTTTATTTTTTTACTGGAAAGGGACTGCTGCTTGTATTGGGCAGTGACTTGTGCCTTCCTTTAGCAACCTAGCATTCTGTCACGGCTCCTAGCTGGGTTGGTCTCCATTAGCACTGTTTGTCTTGCAGTACCCGTCTGGAGATGGGGAAGTGGATGGAAGACCTAAATATGGCAATTGAAATGGCCAAGAAATCTACTGAGAAATCTGACATGCTTCTGGAAAACTCAGTATGCAATCGCTCCAACAGTAAGTGGTGTTTCCTGCCTTCTTGAAAAGCATCAGTTGTCATGTCCTTTTCATTTTTCCTATTGTGAATTTGATGACATAAATGGAGTATTTTTATAATTCACATGGTAATGGAGAGTTAATTGTGCTTTTGTTTTGTTTTAATCAAAAGAAATATGCTTGTCTTCCTAGACTGATGTTCCTGGTAGCTTTAAATGCAGCAGAGATGCCCCAGTTGCAGAATTGTTAATTTTATAAGGTCCTTATTCATCTCTTACTTAAATTTTTCTCAGTTTAACCACATAGGGTATTTTCTTGTCCAGAAATGTGGTGCCTTTGGAGATCAGCTTTTATAGCCCAGCATTCTCTTGCCTGTCTCTGGTGGTGGTATGGACGTGGTGAAACATGTAGTGTCCCTTCGTGGAGCACTTCTTCCTGTTCTTCACTAAGAATCTACTGAAGATGAAGTGTGGAGATGTTTGTTTGTTTTACACAGCATTGAGTCAGCTGTCCCAAGCAGAGCTGAGTAATGAAAGCCAAAATGATCTGCTCCGAGTGGCCTTTAGGAGCTGTGTAACCAATTCAAGTTAATGTATTTTAAAACTGAACCATTGCAAGAGAAAACAGTTTTTCTCAGGAATCCCTGCTTCTCTTGCTCTTTGCATTGCACACTTTTCTTAAACTGCTGCTGAATTCTCCTCCCCCAGGATCCTCTGATGAGGTCTCTCTAGAACAGGAGTCCGAAGATGACATACACTCTTCTCGTAGCTCCTTGGACAGGCAGAGCCACCACCGTGCCAACACAACCATGCACGTGTGCTGGTACCGCAACACGAGCGTCTCCATGACTGACCACAGTGTGGCTGTCGAGGTACCTGCAGGGTGCAGCTCTCACATCTCACTCTGTCTGCCCAGCCGCTCGTCCTCCATCTCCCATTTCGCCTTGGCAGAATTTCATCTCTGTGTCCATGGGAGAGCATGGGCCATTAAAAGGCCACTGCGTGCTTGCTCCCCTCTGTGCATGTCTGTGTGTCCGCATACGCACGCTCTGCTCTTCTTGCAGCAGGGCTTTGCTCGGCAAAGGCACTGAAGGAGAGAAATTTTACAGGAAACCCAGGATATCCTAGGACTGAATTGTTCCTTTGGGTTTCATCAGCCTAGCTGAAGGAGAAGTTACCTATCTGTGATATTTCGCTTTAGAGATTGACTGCTATCCTGAGATCTGGTTAGCTGCTGTGCTGCACCTAGAATTAAGAAGAGTGCTTTAAGTTTGGTGGGAATATGACTTCTCTGCCCTTCATTCATGGGCAGGAGTGAGCAGCAAGCATTAGAAAGTGCCATTTGACGGCAGTCTCGTGTTATGCTGAACAGAGATTTATTATGTGCCCGCTGAGCTGCTGTTACCTTGGGTCTTGCCACTCAGCATGGCTTGATGCAGAGCTGGTGGCATGTTTTGGTACCGAGTCCTGCAGATTTTGAAACAAATGTCTGTTCAGCATTCCTTATGCAGAGCACTGCTTGCACTGGCACTACGATTTCACTTCAGGCGGCAGTCTGGCAAGGTTGGTTGGGTAGGACATCTGCATGCTTGGAAGACTTCCAGGAGTGGGACGGACCCTAAATACCATGAAGAGAAAGAGGAGGTCACTAACTAGACAAATGGCAATGGGGCAAGGTGCTGCATCTGTGTATTTGTACCTTCCTACCTTCCCTGCCCTTGCCATTAAGGCACTTTTTGTTTAATGAAAGGAGTTAAAAGGGCACTGAAGCTCCTGAGTTTTCATGATGTAGAGAGCTTATCAATCAGCTCAGTAAAGGAGGTCCTGCAGGTGTTACCTTGGCTTAGGGTCCAGAAGTTGGGCACTTTAGCTAGCAAAGAAAGCAGTTTCTGTCAGAGGGGACAAGCCTTCCTTTCCCGGCCGATACCCTTGTGAAAGGCACCATCTTGCTGTTCTGTACCTGGATAATGAGGCCATCATGCTACAGGCTCTGGGACTTAAATGTGTGAGTTCTTGCAGCTCACTCTCACTTTCATCTGTTCCATGTTCTAATACCATCATTTTTTTCACAATCCATTTTCCTTTAACAGACACCTTTCTCACATCGCATCGCTTCTCTTATCCTAATGTTCTGTTTTTCTCTTTCTCTCCCCCTTTTCTCTGCTCAGTTTTCTGCTCTCTTGCTGTTTCTCCAGAGCTTCCTCCTCGCTATTTGCTGGGCCAGGCCCAACGGCCCAACACAATCACCCATGTTTGTTGGTACCGGAACCAGAGCCTATCCCTGTCTGATTACCTGTGCATGATCCAGGTAAAAATGCCTCTCAGATTCTGTGCTGGTGGGGAGGAGCCACAGGGTGCCAAGGAAAATGTACTGCTGCTTGCTTCGTAATTGCTCAGTGAGCCCACATGTGCTGGCGTGAGGATGCCCCAGCCAGCCAGCGGCAGAGTTGTAACGTTGCCTCGCTGATACAGGATTTCCTCCTATTTATGCTTCCCAAAATGGTTCTCTGTGTAAATCTGCTGCATATCCAGTCTTTTTCTCTAATTACAAAATCCATTTGCTGTCATTCCATGCCCTAGGTTTCTTTATCCTGCTGCCCAAGCGCTGGGTGACTCTGACTCCCGAGGTGGCAATGTTCAACCTCCCTGCAGCCTGCTTGCCACGCCAGGCTTGGCTTCGCATAGCTGCCACGTGTAGCTTGTCCGCAACTCTGGCACCCTCTGTTTCCTCTTCTGCTTTATTTTCCTGCTCACACAGTGTGTTCTACATGGTTTTTCTGTACATAAAAAAGGGTGGCTGAAGGGATGGACACCCTCGTGGCTGTCACCGTTCCCCTGACCGTAGGCCACAAAGGAGAGCGGTCGCTGGAGGGACGAGTCAATGCAGCACCATCCTGTGTGCTGCCTGACACTGCGCTGAGATACAGCGAGCGCTTAAATGTAAAGAGGAACTTGCTATTAGTGGAGAGAAATCACTAATTCGTTCACAAGAAGATAGTTGTGAATTGGTAAACTGAATATACAAAGTCAGTCACCATGTGAAATACCTGGGAGGCCTTTTACAACAGAGGAGCAAGTGCAGGATTGGTTATGGCAGGCAGCCTCAAGCTTTTTATCTGCGGTAGCTGCTGTCTTTTTCTGAAGGGCAGCAGCTTGTGGTTTCATAGTAGTTTTCTTTTTGTTCTGTGCTAGAACCAGCTCTCTGGATACTTGCTGAGGAAGTTCAAGAACAGCAATGGCTGGCAGAAACTGTGGGTCGTCTTCACCAATTTCTGTTTGTTCTTCTACAAAACGCACCAGGTGAGCAAATGCAGCTGAGGGGGGACTGTGTTTGGGCTGTTGGGGGGAACCTGGAGGTCCTTGGCTTTCTGCTCCGGGTGCAGCTCACTGCTGTTTGAAGGGGAGCGACAAGTGGAAGAGGAGGTAGTTTGTAACAAAGCCGGTCTCTGTAAGGCCATGGGCCCTTATTGCAGAATTTAATCAGGATTTCCAATTCTTTTGATAGTACCGACCTTTTGTCGGTGAGGGGGGAAATGTCTCCGCATGGCAGGGACTAGTGGAGATGAGGGAATTGGCAGCATTTGGTCAGTCTCTGTCCATTTCTCTCCCTGCTGGGCTTCAGCACAGTTTAACAGGCATTGGGGATTTTCCTGCTCACGGTGCCTTCAGCACCTGCTTGGTAACGGAGTGTGCTGCAGTGCAACCTGTGCATTTTCATTTTATTAACCCAATAAACTGTGTTTATTTTACTCAGGCTTCTTGCCTTGAGGGCACATTTCTTTTGGGAGGGATATTTTAACTTTCGTGTTGGATTTGTGCTTGGGGTTCCAGAGAGAGGATGTGGAGGGGGAAGGGGGGAGCCCAGAAGGCAGCAACGGGCAGGGGAGTAGAAGCAAGTAACTCAGGAGTTGGGGGGAAGGTTTTATTATATGCTATTGGCAGCTTCGCAAAAGATAAAAGACTGCTCCTCCTCCCGTTCTTACCTACACAAAAATACAAAGACCTTACCTGTACAGTGCAAAAGAGTGAGTGTGCGTTGGGTTGAACTGTGTGGCCGGGGATGCCTTGCACTAAGGGCTGGGCTATTGGGCTGTTCTAGGACGATTATCCCTTGGCCAGTCTCCCGCTGCTTGGCTACGCAGTCAGCTCCCCTGTAGAGGCAGACGGCATTCAGAAGGATTATGTCTTCAAGCTGCAGTTCAAGTCCCATGTGTATTTCTTCAGGGCTGAGAGCAAATATACCTTTGAGAGGTAATTTCTGTTTTGTGTGTCTGTCTTGGTGTATAACATGCTGTTAACTCACTGGCTGATCATCCAGAGGCCTCTCTTTTCTCCTGACTACATCCTAGTCCAAGTGACCTTACAGCACATTCTCAGTAATAAAGTTCCCTTCCTCTTCCTACCACCGAAGTTTGGAGATCCCTCCTCGGCCAGAACCGTCCTCCTTGCAGGGGAAAGCCAGTGGTTATGCTTAGAGCTGTAGGCTCTGCTTTGTCTCAGGGGTCTGGGGCTTCCTTGGAGCTGGGGAGCAGCATGGGTGGAAGGGTTGTGAGATATTCACCCCACAAGGTCTTGGGAGTCAGATTTCTAGATTAATGAGAGGTCTGGCAAGAATACTTTTTTTGTTTGTTTGTTTTTCCTCTTGATCTCTGGAAACAAGTGTTATAACACAAGGCTGAGAGCAACAAGTGCAGTGCTGCTTTTCACTTTACTGCTTTCTCTGTAATGATGTTTAGCAGTGCTGTTAGGGGCTTCCACACATGGTCCAAAGTGAATCATGTTTGAAATGCATCACGTACAAAACTTTGCTATTACATTAGCTGTTGAAAACCCTTGCATTGCATTTTGCCGTGCAGGGGAGTAGCAATTGTTTTGGAGTGTGGTTTTATTGAGAAGGTGCCACATACTTCCCCTTTCATTGAGAGAGTATCACACACTTGCGAGCAACGTACAGACCAGCTACCCGAGACAGCAGGGTTGTGTTCTTTAATCCACTGGTCTCATGTAGTGATTTGAAGGAAAAACTGTCTAAATCACAATGGACGTTTGTCTTGCTTTTTTCACTGTTGCTTTGCTTTCTTCCATATAAGCAAGTCTGTTACATAATTTACTGTAAGAAAAGCAATCCATTGACTAAGGAAAATTTTTGTCAGCCTGTCCTCCCCAGTAAACACATTCTGTATACTTAGAAGAGAATACAGTGTGGTCTCATAAGAACTCTCTGGAGCTCAAAGCACTGTAGAGCTGTTACTTGGACAGGCAACTGTGTTCTGAAGTGTATTTGCCACATCTCAGGCTATTCATTTGAAGAGTTAGTTTCCTAAAAGAATTGTAAAAGAAAAGTACAAAACGGATGTTTTGTGAGGTTTGGTGAAAGGGGTACAGCTCATAACTGACGGACAAGATTAGGCATCTGTGAGCAAGGAGTTGAGCATTTCTCCTGTCCTTTCTTACCAGGTGGGTGGAGGTGATCAAGAGAGCCACCAGCTCTCCAGCCAGGTCAAGCCTGCTGCTTCCAAAGGACGAGAAGGACAGTCACACAGACTGAAGCAGGGCAGAGCTGGATCTGCTGTAAACATCAACAAAAGAGGCAGGTGGAAACAGGAGTCTCTGGAGTTGATAAAGCAAAGAACCAGGAAGCTCATTTCCACCTGGTATGGAAAGTGGGAGCAAGGGAGTTGCAGATGGGGATCACATCCATTCCCAGTGGTATGGAAGAGGGTCAAGTCTGTTCCAGTTGAACCTACTTAGAGAGAACCTAACAACCGCAGAGCTCCGGTGTGCACACATCGTGGAAGGTTTATTGTTCCAGTTGTACCTGTACAGTAACACCCTTGCCTGCCCTGAAGGCAAATGCCACCTTGTTTTTACATTTTGACTTGGATTGTCAGCATATATGGAAGAAAAATAGCAGCTGTCAGTGGTGCGACTGGCTCACAGGTGTTGGAGCCAGGGCTTGCTGGCTCCCAGAAGTTCCCTTCCCCTGATGCTCGGCATGGCTGGCTATACAACTGCTGTCTTGCTGCTGTTAATGTCAACCTGCCAGCACAGTCGTCTCAGACTATCGGAATCCACAGGTGTATTAGCTTAAACACAGTTCATTTTGAACAGAAACTGCACCTCTCATAGAACAGCTCTGCTCTTTGGAAACTGCCATGGTGGCAATTTTCCAGGGGAAGCAGGAGGACTGAACCTCTGCTAAGCTGTTGAGGTTTTGGTACATTGTGGGTCAGTACAGGTAGGGCACATGGTTTTTCCTCTGATCTCTGCTATGGCGCATGCTGAGAGGGTCAATCGCTATTCTCTTATCACAGCTCCAGAGTTTCTTTATCCTGTAGTAGGCATTATTTAAGGCATGGGATGGCAAACACACTCTCCACCCATACATGGGCGATGTTTTCAAGGCATTTGAGCAATATAGGAGAACAAGCTTCTCTGAAAGTCACTGTTGCTTGTGCTTCTGTGTCACGTAAAGACTCCTGCAAATCCCTATTCTTACCTTTGAATTTGGGGTGGGATCCATCTTCCATTTCTCGTGAAGGTGTAAAAGTCACTGGATTCCAGATGGAGCATTAGTGTCTTTGGACTCTATTAAATCTCTGTATTAAATCTGAAATGTTTGCAGTTCGTTCTGTTTTTGTAAAGCTGTCACCTTTGGTTGCCTCCACAGAAGGACTGAAATAAGCTAAGTGCCACAAAATGCTGTTGGACATGGCTTGGATGGGCTCTAGGGACTCTGCTTTTGTATTAGATAGAAAAGTATTTGTGTACTAGAAGAAGGATCAATGGAGTGGTGTAGTGAAAGAAAAAGGAAAGTGTTGCATGTTGTGAGGATGGAGGAATGTGGCGATCCCTGTGAAAACGGGAAGCACAGAGGCCAGCATGTGCATTCTCCAAGGCTGTTTCAGGTTATGGTCTAAAACATGTGTGGGATGAGGACTGCAGAAGGGGGTTCCGGAGGGATTTTCCAGACTGCTCACTTGGCATTTGCATCCTAGAGAAGATGAGTGACTGCAGATCCAGCCTTCACTACCACTGTCACAATGACCATTGTCCCATGTAAGTTAAATGTACTTAATTTATTAGTGTCTTTTTTTAATTAACTGTTGTAGGTGTATACGTATGGATTGACTAGACATGTTATAATGCAGCTGAATATGACTGTTGAAAGTAAATAGCATCTTGGTATAAAAGTCTCTCAGCCTCTTATTCTTGAGCCCACCATCCCCACCCATGGCCACGGTCATGGGGAGGCAGATGGCATCTGTGCAGGAGCAGTGCTGTTCTTTGGAACTGAGAGAAGAGGTTTCACTCTGCTGATAAATGGGTCTTTGCATTCAGTGGTTTTCCTTGGACAATGCTGACCGCTCCTTTGTCACAGTCACATACTGGAGTCACTTAGCAGGAGTGCTTTCCTCTTTCACAAGAGCTCTCCCATGCAATTACTGCCCGTTGCTGGTCTCCAGCGGGGAAGCTCTGCAGGAGCAAGTCGCAGAGAGGAGGAGCAGGGTCTCTGTCAGCAGCTGGGGGTCTTGGCACTTAGCCAGCCTCTAGTTGCACTCACCTACTGTAGCAGGGCCTTCTAGCACCAGGATTCAAGGGTTTTTTTTTTTTCACTGTTCAAGTTACGCAGTAGTTTTCCAAGACTGTGGTTCTCAGCTCACCCAGCATCAAGTTCTGCTCCATTCGCAGCAGAGAGACAGCACTAAGTCAGAATGATGTGGAGGAGGTGTCAGAGCTGCCTTTATGGAGCCTGTAAGTGGCACCTGGCTGTGGGGGGGCAGCTCCAGGGCAGGGCAGGAGGAAGGGACTGACAAACACCACCTGAAATTCAGTGAGGATAAATGCAAAGTATAAAGATAAATGCCACCCTCTGTGGCACAGGCTGGGGCCTGCGCAGCTGTGGCACAGGCTTGGGGCAGAGGCCCTGGGGTCCCCAAAAGCAAGCTGTGTTGAAGGGCAGTGCACATGCTCTGGTGTTTGTGTTACAAAAGCAAGGCCTGGCTAATTGCCAGAAGAGACAAGGGCAGAAGAGCAGGAGAAACGTGTTTCTGCAAGTGCGGTGCAAGAGCGTGTGCAGTGTTTTCTGCCTGAGGATGAAATAGCCTGGTATTTGGCCCTGGTGCTTTTAATTTTTTTTTTCTTTTAACTAGCTGACAGAGGTAGCTTACTTGCTTAACATCAGCTAGACTTTGTCTAAGCTACCTCGATAAATCAGCTGTCAGTCTCCCTAGCATCATGCATAAAGATCAGACTGAAATGTACCAGGTGTTATGGGTAGATGGAAGGAACTGTACAAGATGGCCTCACCCTCAGCAAGCACCATGGCGGCTTGGCTTTTGTACACTCCCTTGCAGTTCCAGACAAGTCTCTTCCCCCCACACTTGTTTTTCCATCTTGTATCATAAGGAACACTGCTTTAGCCTGGAACACAAGGAAACAACTTCAGACCTTGAGAAAAATGATCAAAGAAAGAACACAGTGGAAGGACACACCCTAAAGGTGTTGGTGCATGACTGTTAAGTACTTACATGGCTAATCCACAGGCTGTTTGAACACCTATGCTCTATTTATCCTCCTGTCACATCCATGTAGCAGAATAGTACTGTTACAACTCCTGTTGCAGGAGAGATGCAGTGAGCAGAAGTCCTTCCTTAAGATTTTTGGGCAACTGAGGAGTAGATGATCCTGAAGTTGCTTATGTGTATTAACCTGCAGCTCAATATTTCCTGTCTTGAGGATGTGTGTGCTATCTACAGTGGCTGAGGTGTGGTCCCTGAAAGAGGAGCCTCTGGTGCTAGCTGACCAGAAACCAAGGTCAGCAGGCAACAGAAGTCCCTTCTCGGGTGGAGAATGCCATTTAAAATGCAGGAGCACAGGCTCTAAAAGCCAGAAACTTCACTATCCCTGGCAAAACTGCTTCCCTCTTACCTTGGCAAGCTTTCAGATGGATGAGGATTTCAGTGTCATAGCAGTTCTTCTGTGCAATACCATGTAGTATTTTAATTTTACCAGAATCCTGCAGAAGTATTTTTGTCTTTGCTACAATCATGAGCAGTTTCCTTAGAGCACTAGGAAAGAACAGAATACAGCTGCTCCTTACTAATTGGTTTCTTGCTAGCAGGATGTATGTTAAGGGAGAGATGAACCCTTGCTCTTGGGACCTCATGGCTTAATATCCATGGTCTCATTTCATTTCAAAAAGCCATCCTTTCTGGTAAATGCTACCAGTGTTCCCTGCTTCCCGTGGGGCTGGCTGGCTGTCCTTAACTCAGTGTAAGAGAGTCCTCCTTCACTGCTTCAGAAACCAGAGCAAGTTTTTGCAGTAGTTCCTACCATGTGTTTAATGCAACTTACCAGAGCTGTTCTGGCAACTGCTCCCTTTGTCTTCCCCAGTTACAAGAGTGACTCCTGTTGCAGCCGATAATTCACCTCCCTCTTTCATGTTGGTGACATCACCAGAGCTTTATCTCTGCTGAAGTGTCAGCAACATGCATGTACACAAGGTGGTCAGCGTCTAACTGTACTCAAACCGCTCGGGTGCAAGTGGGGCATGGCTCACATGCAGTGAAGTTAAGTAAGTAAGTAAGTACTTCATTGTAAAGGTTTAGAGAGTCTGACGGGGGAACATTAATTGTCAGAGCTTTCATTTTAGAAGGCAGACTTTCAGTCACCCCCACAAAATACAAGCTGTACCCATCTGTGTATCTCTGCATGCTCATCCCCAAAGTGCTGCACTAAAACTACCCTTTCCCCACTTCAGCTGCAGATGAGAAAGGCTGCACCATCACCACAGTCCTGTCACCAGATCAATAAACAGACTCCAGCAGAAACCACACTGAAGCATTCTCCGGAGCACAGCTACCCTTTTGCGAACAGTTTGTGCTTCCCTTAACGCTGGTGTGCAACAGCTAAAGGAGTAACATAACATGCCTTTCACTGTATTCCCTCTGTGCACCAAAAGTAGTTAACACTGGGTCTGGCTCACAGGTCGCTGTTAACTGTACGTGAGGCAGGAAGATGCAGGGGAAGACTAAGGAGAATGCAGAGAAAAGCAGTTTGAACAAATAGTTTTTCCCTAATAATACAAAGTTACACCAGCCTCATTTGTTTTGTTACTTTATTGAAAGTGGCAGATCCCTTTCAATGTTTTTAAAAACTAAAACCATTGTTTCTTTGAATACTGGACAAAGTTTGTGGGGATTGTTTTCTTTAAAAAGTTTACTCATTACACTGCAGTGCATGTGAGTAATAACACAGGGTACCTTATTGACACGATTTGCTACTGTCATGAACAGCAACTTTAGAAGCAGCAGGAGCCCTTCAGCTGCCTTTCTGCTGGACTGCAGCCTCTGCCTTCCACCTCAGTAAGTTTCCTGTCTATATGTTAACTCACTTCTCCTGAGGAAAAAAAATGGGTTTGTTCTTCATAAATGCAGGCTCCGAGACGGCTTTCACCATAGATAAATGCCACTCTGCAGCAGATCTCCAGCAAGATCAAACAGCAGCACCTCTTCTCTACCGGACAAGTTCATAGTGTTTGCTGAGCTTGTATTTATCCATCAGAGAGGAAGAGTAAAGGATAGTCATAAGCTACAGTGAACACTGCACACCAGGAGGAGGGAATGTATGGTCCTTTTGAGCTACTTTTAGCCCAGCACTTACAATCTGCAGGTCTGAATCAAAGTACCAAAAATCAAGCCTTGCTACTAAGTAAGTGGCCTATCTTAAAAAAAAAAAAAAAAAAAAAATGCTGAACAGCTACAGCTTTTGTTCTCAGTGGCTTTGGGGTGAGTCACATCATTCACACACAAACACCCAGACAGAAAGATCTGGATAGCAAAGGTCTTGCTGACTTAATGGGAATATCTTTACAGTTAGAGAGCCAATCTCTAAGCAGCTAGCTATCCAGAAGTTATTTTCCTAAGTCTATTTTTGTAGACCTTTAAAGTATAGATTTAAGATCTGTGCATTTACCTGAATTAAAGATTTGCTTTATAAACTAGTATTATACAGAAAGCAAAGTTAGTTGGGGACAGCTCCACTGGAATACCTTACGCAGCCACTATGGCAGTAGATGCTTTAATTTCTCTACTAGCAAACACCACCACAGCTCATCAATTAGAGCAGAGCCCTGGCTTCAGTGAGTTGAGATTCCAGGCTGAAAGAAGAGCCAGAAAGGGAAAGTTGAGAAGAAGGGGATGGAGGCCTAGAGCAGCTTTTGCAAACCCCCAGCCACAACACCACACAGCTACCATTGCTGCTAGTCATCCAACTTATACCTTTCTGTAGGCAACAGGTTTCTTGCCTCAAGAACTGCTGCACAACATCAGTCTGCCTTTTGCACTGAAGCCCCGTCAGCGCCTTTGGCTGTTGTGTTCCCCCCACTGCCTTTTTTTAATCCTTCTGCAACATTTGGGCACACACAGTAAGTGTCTGCTTTGCTTGGCTCAGAGACTAGGACTGCCAAACCTGTGTATCTAGTTGCTTCAGTTGCAGAAAGTACCACAGAAAGGAACTCCACCAGCTCCCAAACCAAATGTAACCACTTTGCCTTCCAGTCCCTCGAGACCCAAGGCTGTTGCCTGAATTAGATGAACCAAGGCCTAATACAAACTGATGTCCCAGAGCCAAAAAACAAGTACAGTCAGCAAACCCATCCTCCTGTGAAATGACAAGCTGGGAAAGAGCAGCAGTTTACTCGCTCAGCTGCTGCTATACTGAAAAGCTTTTCATTACTAGTGTGTGAAGGAGTTGAAGCAATCCTCCAGAACAACCAGAGACCTGCTCTCACTTTCCCAGAGGCCGTAATGCATGGAGAGCTTGCAAACATACCTGCACTCACACGTTACTTACTGCTCACAAACACTTCTTTAGGAAGGGCAGGAGGCTAAACCCATCAGGCTCACCTTTGAAACATATCTCAATGGAAGAGAATCTCCCTCTTTTCCAGTAGCCAGGCATTTACCAGTACCAAGCTGTGAATCAAACCAAGCCAAAATGGATACATCCATAGGGAAACAATTAAAAACTGCATTGATTACATTGTAAAAACAATTAGACCACCCATCTCGGGTTCTGCAAAAGGTCTAAATTGTACTTGCATTGCAAACCCCACCCTGGGTTATCATGGAAACACGTGTAATATGGAGGCTCTGAAATGTCCCGGAGTCTGTAACACAATGTTACATCCAACAGCAGATGGTAGTCTGGATTAGAGATGTAGTTCGTATGAAGCTGGAAAAAATCCTTCCCCCCTCAAAACAGCAGCAGGGAATGTCGGCGTCAGCGGGCAGAGGTCAGGTGGTTCCGACTGTGTGAAAACCTGCAAGAAAGAGTAACGGGTAAAACTGGTCACTACTATCCATTTCAAGCCTTCACCTGGAAGACAGCCCACATACACTGCACCAGGCAGCCTGTCTGTGGATGAAGAGGTAAGTAAGTGTGGATGTGTTTGTCCCCACCCCCATTGCCACTGTCAGTTTTCTAGATAAAGAAGTCTTGAAAGAAAAAAACAGCAATTTAACAAAAAAAACAAGGTGGCACTTTTTTTAGGCTTTTAAGATTCAATTTTAGGCTAGTAAGAAATTTTGAGCATTAGTGTTTTACAGTAAGAAACCAACCAGGGTCTGTGAGGTTTTGCAAACCTCCAAAAAAACGCCAGCATCTTGCACCGTCCAGTAGTGCCACTTCTAGGCCAACAGAAGTGAATGACACTGAAACAGCTGCCCTGATGTCACCCAGCTGCGAGTACCTCCTGCTTAGCTAGAGGCTAAAGTTTTTGCAGGCGTCACCAGGACACTTTCTGTCACCTCTGTGGGTCAGCCAGAAGAGATAAGAGTATTCTCTTTCTGGCTTTAAGTGATGATTAGATGTGGGAATCTAAACAAACAGGCCGATAGCATATTTGCTTGAAAGCTTGAATGACTTAGTAACAGAAGCCCTCAAGGATGGCCAGTATTTTCAGTCCTTAATATCTAAGGCTTTTCTTTGACAGCATCCAATGGATACTTGAGCTACAAGGCGCAAACTATGACAGCTTATACCCATCAGAAATAAATGCTTAGAAAGCCCAAGTTCAAGGGTGTAAAGACTGTGAACCTGAGCACAGAATGGCTCCTTTGGTCACATGTATAGCAAAATACTTCCAGCCTTCTAACCAGTGAGGGGCCAAATGTTAACGTTACTCAGCTGGTGAGGAAAGGGCGAGATTTAGGACAGCCTGCTGTGAAAGGGAGAAAAGCAAAATTAATGTTAAATAAAGCCTGATAAACCTGTGATCAGGATCTGACACTGTTGCCTGCAACACATGGATGTGACTGAACTTGGCGCCAGTAGTGGAGGCAAATTTGACGCAGCACCTGCTGAGCAGCAAAGAACTTAATTCTACGAGACTTCAGGAAAAATACACTTTCCTGCTGCCTGAAGCTGGGCAAGCAGAGTGACTGGCTGCGGGTAGTGCTGTAAAGCACATTCCTTGCGATGAAACAGATACTCACTATTCCAGAAGCAATCCCGATGACATTTTGCATAGTCCTCGCTACCTGGGTAATGGGACCAGCAGGACATCATATATCTATATATATCTAAGCAAGATGAAGGTGAATAGCAGCATCTTTCCATGCTCTGCAACATTCATCTACACTACAGAAACTTTTTCAGTGTGAGAAAGGACTTCTGAGGCAGGAAGAACCACTTCCATTAAATGAAAAGCAAGTTAAAAGAAATGACTTAAGGGACTATCAGGTCAGCTGTCATCAATATTCACTTGTTGGGTATCTTGACTGCTCAGCACCAACCTTTACCATAGCGATGGAGTATAACAATGGTTCAGTTCACTGCCAGCTCCAGCCCAGCTCACGCTCTAGAGGACACTCACCTTTGTACCCGCTCTACCATGTGTGCTATCAGTTTGTCAGAGATGCCTGGGCAGGACTCCTCAGCCAAGCTAAAGGCATTCTCCAGCTCCTCCATAGCTCCCACATTGCCTCCAGTCTGCTTGTGCTTATCTTTAAGCTGCAACCCAGAAACAGCACATTAGTTCCTTATCTCATTGCAGAAAGCACTGGTCAAGCAGTGCAGTACAGACATTAAGTCCCTTTCCCTTTTAGTATGACTCCACAAGGGTGCAGGAGGGCAAACATTCTTAAAAAAATGAAAAAGGGCTCTTTTCATAGGTCAGGAAGACAGAAGTCCAATGTCAGTTGTCTGTGTCAACTTTCCTCCAGGTTCTGATAGCAATTGAAGTCCTTAACAAACAGGCCCTGATGTACTCCTAAACAAACTAAATGATATTAGAAATGGATCGACAGCCCTGAAAACCCATAAGCAGTAACAGAACAAGGAACTCCAGTGGTATCTGAACCAGTACAGTCACCCTTGCTGCTAACAACAGCTTAGCACCCAGAGGCACACAAAGGCTTGCAGACAGGTAGGGCAAGAAAAATATCATAACACCCGGAGTTAGTCACCACCACTTTTAATAACCACAAAAAAGTCTTGAGTAGCTTCTAGTGACTGGGAGGGCAAGGCAGACTACTACCACGCTATGGATCCTGAGCCACTTGGTCTCCAACACTCCTCCCCAAGAGCGAGCTTTCCCCAGGGGAGCAGGGGAATGAAGCCCACGCACCAAGACCTCCATGTGCAGCATCTGCCCTAGATGAAAAGCCTCAGTTCACATCCATCACGGTTAGCGCACTCTGACTAGGCCTCACCAGCCACAAGTCTACTTGCACATGGTTCCAGTTGTTAATTTGAAATAGCTACACCTCTGTCCTTAAGAAACTCCTTACAGGTCACTGATGCTGAGGCCTGAAGGAGTCTGTCGTCGGAAAACCCACAGTTGCATCCTCTGCAGCATTTTCCCACCTCCTTCTCACAAGCAGCTCATGTGGCAGGCCCTTCCCTAGTGCGTGTCATTACACAGTGAGCTGAACAAAAATCAAAACCTTTTGTTGAACACGCAATGTCTGCCAGCTAACCACTGTCCAGTTCAATTAAGCTCCCGTTAGACTACGCTGATTAAAGGGCTTTACATAAGCCTCACAGTTCTTTGCCTGCAATTCTAGGATCAGCCTTTCCTGTTGTTGGAGCTCACCTTTTCTCCATGGTCCAGAAAGCAGGACAATATGAATGCTAATCCCCAGCTGCAGCCATCCCAGTGCTCTAAGTCCCCCACTGGAAACAAAATGGTTCCTAGCCAAAAAGAGCTGCTGCCTCTTCAGTGGGGTAATTGCTCACTAACACAAAGCCTCAGCTGTGACAGCAACTCACACATGCCTCTGCTCATTCAGAAGTGGCAGGGGGCACAGAGGGCAACTCCATTACACATCAAGGATACAGACTTCTTAGGCCAAAAATAGTTGTGATGCTAAAGCCAAGGATTTGATTTAACGTCTACCTGATCAAAGACTGCCTGCCTCAGAGCAAAATGAGACACAAGGTCTGTCCTGCAGGTAAGTTGCCAGTTTATCATCAGCCTTTGATGCCAAGCCACTGACCTTTAGCTTGCCCAGCAGCCTGTGATGTGAGCAGTCTGTGTTACCCTGCCACTTTCCACTGCAGAAGAGTTTTCTGTAGGTTAGCAGGGGGTTAGAGAGCTGTACCACGCAAAGGCTTACAGGTTGGCTTTTATTTTACCGCTTAGTCCTCCAGCCCCAAATACCTTACCTTTCCTCCCTGCCCCAGAAAGGGCAGACAGGTTTCCAGATCTGCAGTTGCCCACATCTGTGTTAATGACCCAGCATGGGTCATTTTCAATATTAACATCCAATAATACACAGGCAGGGAAGACATATAAAAGATTATGAACAGCATCTCAGTAAGATTTCAATTCACAAAGCCCAGCTTCAGCCCTTTTATGGAAAGAGATGATCAAAACCTAGCAGGTCTAAGAGGCAATAATACAATGGTGAGAAGGAGAAAGTCTGCTGTTGGTAGGAAACTAGAACTGAAAAGAACAACGCGTGCAACCAGCAGTGAAGCAGATTTCCTACTTGGAGAAAAGTTTTCTTCCAGCCCCCTACTACTGCACACAGAAGCCAGGTTATTTCAGAGACTGCCCAGAACCTTTCCTGCACCTGATTTTGCTGAGTGGGATGGGCAGAGGCAGCAGGGAAGTCTAAGCAAAGGAAAGGAGGATCAGCAAATCTGGGGCAAGGGAGTCAAACTAGCAGAAATGAAAAATCCAGGAAGCCACTTTCTGCCTGGAACTGGTGCAGCAATGTTGGTAAGGAGAAGCACGAAGATGTACCCATTGGTTTGGAGAACCCACAGCTCTGACCACCCCCTCCCCCAGAAGGCCCCTAAACAGAAAGGGCTGAGAACCAGATGTCAGTGATTATGCTGCACAGACAAACTGCCTGCATCAGAAACCAACATTATTTTTATCCATTTTTCTCTCATGGGTCTAGGCCTACAAGACCCAGACCCTCTGCATCATGCTCTGACCTCTGGAAAGTCAAGCCCAGTGGAGTACAGAAGAAGCCGGTTAGCTAAACATCTCAATTTCCAAAGCGGTGCTGTCTCAAGAGCCTGCTTTTCAGAATGACTTCCACTTCCTGCCCTGCAGCAAACCCTCTTTCCACATAGCACTAGACCCGAGAAAAGAGATTTAAGCCCAGAGACTATCCCTGAAAAAGCACAGCTCTCTGCTGGGCCACCCCTGGAACAACATCAAGATCCAGAAAACAGCAAGTCATCAGGATGAGAGAAACGGTCTCTGTGACCCAGCAACCCAAGAAAAGAACCCTGCCATGCAGTGTCTAAGTGACTTCTTCTGAAGCAGAACCACCTTTCCTATACTCCTGCTGGAAACAGCAACTGAAGAACCTAGCCAGCAGCCCCCTTATGATTATCATCCTCTTCTCCTCCCTTAAAACATCACCGAGCTGGAAAGACAATTCAGTTCTCCGTTGATACAGACACTATCCCATCATTAATGGTAGTTTTTAATTCAACTCTGCATCCCCACCCAGAACACAAGGCAGGGAAACAGGGTGGATTTTCCAAACGCATTTTCTCTGTCTACCTTCCACAGGCCATATGGTGGTAACTCCTTGGCCTCGGCATGCTAGCAATAGCAGGCGTGTATAAATCAAGAAGGCAGCCTAGTAAGTGGCAAAACCAGTTCATGCTCTAATCCACCCACATTTCCCTTGGTGACTCCGCTGTGGACAGCGGCATATAGCATGAGGGCAGGGAACATGCACAGCAACATGCAAGCTCAAATACCTGCCTGCCCTAAAAGGAGCTGAACTTCAGCCATGGTGGCCAGGGACATCAGACTCCAGAGTTACCCAGGCATTAGCAAGCCTAAGACACGGATAAGAAGCAGGTACTCCTCTACCTTATCCTCACCAGAAGACAACATAGTAATGCTATGCTTCTAGGAACACAAGTGTATTGGAGAGGACACTCCAGGGACATACTCGCTTTCCACTTCATCTCCAGCCACCACAGACACCAAGAAGGTTCTACTCACCTCCCCAAAAACTGGGTGAACAAGTGTGGAGAGACATTGTGACCGTGGCTGCCTCTTGATGGGCTCAGTTGGCTAGAAAGCAACATGGAAAGAAGTTATAAGCATAGGCAAAGGCTCCCAGGGCACATAAACTACTAAGCCTTTGGTAAATTCACAGCACTTCGATGGCAGTCCCCTCACCAGGTCTCTCAAAAGCCACAGATTGCAGAACCCTGATGATGCGGAAGAGGCAACTCTGGGGCACTAACCCTTGATACTAGACTGAAGTAAATTTTTAGACAGAACATGAGTGACTGGTAGCTTCCCCAAGACCCTCACTTGTGTTAGTTCAGTCCACCTCTGAAAGAACAGATAGCAAACAGACCTTCTGGGAACCATGAAGAGCCATTCCTTTGTGCAGCTTGCTCAAGGAGTTGGGGCGAATAGTTGGTGGGAATGTCCAGATTGGACCCTGGTCTCCATCCTCTGTGTCTCCATCACTGCAAATGAAAAGGGGAAGGTCAAGACAAAGCCTCAGCTCCATACACTGGGAGTTTACCCATGCATTCCCATAGTCACAAGCTCTCCCCCATCTGATTGTCGTATCACCACAGGGGGCACAGGCATTTCCCTATCCCAGTAAAAATCCTAAAGAGAAACCGCTTCAGTCTCTACAGCCCATATACAGCACAACAGAGATCTGAGCCAAGTACTACATCACGTTTCCAAATCACCACAACCACCTTTCTGCTCTAGCCAGCTTGAAGACAGTTTCAAGTGCTAGTTAAATTTAGGAGACTTTGAAGACAATCCAAGTGCACAATTTGAGGGGCCAGGCTTAGATATTGCAAGCCAACCTCCCAGAATCATTGGTCACTTGAGTCGCTGCCACTACAGGTGAAGAGAAGCTCTGTGACACCAGCCTGGCAACAAAGCGCTCTTTCCTCACCCAAGGCTCATAGCCTCATTATCCTCCACATCAGTACCAAAGCTCTCTACTCATGAATACACAAACACACATACACAGCTGTTGCCACAGTTTCTGAAGCCTGTAGTTCTTGCATTTAACTGAATGTGCATAAAATAAAGGCAACAAGAGCCTTGTTTTACTAGTTACACACAGACTAGACATTTCTTGTTAGTACTTCTGATTCCTTACACTCAAAGAGGCTCCACAGGGTAAGACTAGAATAGAGTACCAGGTCCCACTGAACAGGAGGTAACAGCCTGTTTCTTCAGGCAGCAGTCACCTGCTCCCACAAACAGGTGCTCACAGGTCTCCCTGAGCTACTTTAAGATCTCCAATCAAGGTGGGGAAAAGACCTGAGCTGTTTGCAGTAGGCCACCCCAGGGCATGCAGGGTACAGCAGAGGCACCCCTCCATGCAGAACATGTACGTACATATCAGAATCACCAGAACTGGAATCTTCTCCATGGCCCTCCGACTTCCAGCGCTTGAATCGATCTATCAGCTCCATTAGGAATGAGGTTTTCTTGGTGTAGCGTGTGATGAACTTGTGCTTTAGCAATTCTTTAGCCGTTGGCCTCTGGAGCAAATAAGGAAAGCATGCTACATCTAACCATCTCCATACACTAAACACACAAGTGCATGGACTTCAATTCTTGCCAGGCTTGCCCGTCCATTTGGCAAGCTCAGTACTTCTTCCTCTCCAGGAGCCTTGCACCAAAAGGTCTTCCTGCTAAATAAATCTTTGACCTCTGCAATACTTTACCCAAATTCACAGGTGGACAGCAATACTCACAAATCTAGGATCCTTATTGAGGCAGGCTTCCACAAATTCCTTGAAGGGCTTGCTGTGGTGACCCTCAAGTGTTGGAGGGTTATTTTTGGGGATCAGGAAGAGAACCCTCATAGGATGCAAGTCAGAATTTGGAGGCTCTCCCTTTGCTAGTTCAATGGCTGTAATTCCAAGGGACCAGATGTCTGCCTGAAAGAAGAGCAAGAACAGTGACAGCACGGAACAGCAACGAGCAATTCTGCAACATGGAAGCATGCAACTTTAGCACAGCCAAAGGGCTGATCACATAAAATCAGATAGGGTGTTTCATGTCTAATAGACAAACTTCTCCAACAGACCCTGAACCATAACAGCAAAGTATCATTCTTGCAATAAGCAGCACTTCCAATCCCTGTATTAACCCTAGCACCACCTCATATATAGTAGCACCAAGTAGCGATCCTCTTGCTCCCAGCTCACCTTGAAGTCATAAGCAGACTGTTTGATGACCTCTGGTGCCATCCAGAACGGAGTCCCGACAAAGGTGTTTCTCTTGATTTGTGTGTCTGTCAACTGTCCAGCCACCCCAAAGTCAGCCAGTTTCACATCTCCTTGTTCCGAAAGCAGCACATTGGCAGCTGTTCACACAAATAAGCATTAAGTCCACTGGTTTCTGAATCATCTCCAGCACACACAGAACTGAATACTGAGAATAGACCTCCTGTGACATCCTCCTTTGCCCCAGTGAAAATGCTCAGCTTGGATTTCCAGCCTCAGACTCATTCTCATGCTCTGACCTCTGCTGGGTAACACGGAACAAGTTCCTCCACTTGGCTGGATCCGAAGGGGAATATTTCTAGGGGAGCAGCAAGGAGTAGATGTGAAGGGCCACACAATCAACTACATGCGATTCCTGGCCACACAAAGAAGAGAGGGCAACATGGCCGAAGATACCTCAAATGGTCTTGATTTTTTTTCAGAGTAGCATTCAGCACAGGTTAAATAGCAGATCCTTCTAAAGAGCTCACAAATCCTGGTCTTGTACTGCTTCCCACTCACTCAGCTTAAGAGCAACATTGCTCACGTTTTGGGCCATGGGGGTTTTTTTGTAGGACTTTTCATTCTGAGAGAGACTCTACCTACAAACTTTCAGCATCTCCCAAGTCTGCTGGTGGCCAACAGTCCTGCACAGCTTGCAGCACTAGAAATGTGTAGTCTCCCATATGTAGAAAAGATTCTGTTGTGTATCTCCCTGCATGAGGTTTCTCTGCTCTGCTTGCTCACACCCCCTCCTGCAGAGGGTCAGAGCAGTTAGCATCCAACACTGGCCACGTCTCCACAGCACTGTCCTCTCACCCTCCTGCTGTCCTTTGATGCTCTGTGCTCGGTGTGAGACTGCTTGTCGGGAGGCAGATGCCAGGTCTCTCTACACTGCATAAGGCCAATGACTATAAAAATCAGTAACAGGATAAGCTGACACAAGCTGCCCTGATTTTCTAGGGCTGTGAACCCTGCATGAGGACAGCTCACCTTCACAATAAGTTATAACCATGATAACCAGCATACACACGCCTTGGGGTCCAGCAGTAAAGCAAATGTCCAGACATAACTGAGAGTCGGCTAATATTTGAGCATGCCTTCCATTGACTCCTTTGCTTTAGCCCCCTGCCTGTCCAAACTACAAATGCCAGAGAAGAGCTACAGATCCTTACTGTTACTCTAAACCCTAAAGACATGAAAAACATGACTTGCAATAAAATGATAAGCACCAGATTCAGAAACAAGCAATCCAACAGGAAAAGCAGCACTGAGAAACAGTCTTTGAAACTTCTCAGATTATTACTGTATAATACTTCTAAATCTTACGTTAATAACATCCCTTACAAGAAAGAGAGCTGAGCTCTCCCCTCTTACCTTTGATGTCTCTGTGGATCTTCCTCTCAGAGTGTAGATAATCCAAACCCTTTAGGATTTCTCTTAGGATAGTAGCTATATAAGTCTCCTCGAGGGGTCCCGGCTTCAGCTGATAAAGGGCAAAAGATGACTTAAAGGAGGGTGACTGATGCTTTGGATTTTCCAGCCTTTCAGTTTGTTACTTGGAAACCTTGGCCAAGCAGGTCATATTCAGCAGGAAACACCTACTGCATGCCTGGTGCACGTCCTGCAAGCAGAATGCTGGACTTTGCACCTGGCAACATTAAATGGAAAATCTTTGGGGGATTTTCTGTTAGTCTATTAAAGGCTTCCCAGACAAACAGCAGGATGCTCATCTCTCGCTTTGGCCTGGAAATACATTGGTGAACAGAACATCTTAACAGCTTCTCTTGTTCAAGTCTCTCTGCTAGCATGCAAGAACTGAATTTCAGCTACTGCAACAGCCTGGAGACAACTTCTGCCCTCTGGCTATGTAGTTTTGTATCAAAGCTCTTCTCCTTTCCATCAGTTCTCCTCTAAACAAGTCCTACCTTCTCAGTGCAATAATTGAGGTTCTGACACTAAGATGACTTCTGCTGATGACAGCCCCTCCGCTACACCCTTCCCCCAAGTCAGTGCAGGCTCAGCAGTTTTCACTACATGACCTTAGTTACTGCTCTGGAAAAACAGGCTTTATTGTCCTAAGGAGAAAAGCAAAATCCTGTGACAGAATACAGCATGGCAGAACTTTGCCCATGCGTTTATTCTGCATTTGTATTCCCTTAAAATCTGGGGTAACTTGTTAGATGTAATTTGTATTATCAAACACCTGGGAATCCTGCTCATAGACCAGGTCCCTGCTGAGCTTAATGCTATGCAAGCACTGAACAATACCATGAACTCTTATTAGATGAAGTATGGATTTACACTGCTCAAAAACCACTGGCTGCTGTCACATTTCAGTTTGCTGGCTCTTCCCACTGTAAAGCAGCAGAGCACGCTGGAGAACAGTGCTTTGACAGCTGAGCTCCGTGCAAACATTTCCTCTGTCCTGGGATATGCATAACCAGCATGTCTGTTCTGCACTGCCTACCCTTCAGGCACAGGGCTGTCAAAAAGATGGTGTATGCCAAGTGAGTGTCCAGCTTATGGGCACTTCACAAACTAAGGCTCCAGCCAATGTTTGTCATGGTCCAGAGCTTACCACATACTTACCAAATCCAGGGCTGAACCTCCTCCTAGGTACTCCATGATTATCCACAGCTTAGTGCCCTGCAAGCAAGAGCACAAATCAAAAGGAAAGACAGTAAAAAAAGCAGGCAGAAAAGTGAAACACCCCAGAGGCAACAAGACACATGAGTCGTCCTGTACACAGTCTAAGAGATGCTGCACACCACAGCTTTCAGAGGCTTAAGAAGGGAGCTCCCAAATCCCTCTTTCCTGCTGACACAGCATTATAGCAGTGGACCTGCCCCCAGTACATTTCTTTCTCTCGGTCTGCAGTTTTATCTGAGCAAGCTTAGTGGCCCTGCAGGCACCAGACTACACAGCCCACAGAGATAAGCATATTTTCAAGTTGGAGCCATTTAACATTGCTGCAACAGATCTAGCACATCTCCCTCTTGACAATGACAGGGGAGCTTTGCAGCCTTTGATCTCATTAACAGGACTGCCAGCTTGAAGGGTACAATCAGCAAGACACTCTTACTCCTCAGAGAAGAGAATTCCAGACAGGTTCACAGGGTCCTGGTAGGAGATAAGCAGCAGATCCACGAAACTAGAGCTTGCTTGGTGTTTTCAGTAGAAGGCTGAGAAAATGCATTACAGCCTTTGGAAAAATACACAAGGAATAATCAGGATCCAAAGAGCTCAGGAACTATTTACTACAGACCCAGTGTTACATATACCTCCAGCAGCCGGCATGCAGAGGCCACTTCTGGTCATGACCACTAGTAGCTTCCATTGGGGATTCCTAAACCTCTTCTCAATGGAAGTGGAATCAGCACTCCTCCAAAGACTCAGTTCCTGTTCTTTTCACCATTTCTGATGAAATTATGATCACAAGATCACAAAGTACAGTTTCAAACTCCTCTTCTTTCCAGAGGCATAAAGGCCCCAGTGGTAGTACCCTAAAACTGTGGTATTTTGGAAAAGTACTCCACAAACTTCCTTTCAAGAATGGTCAAACCAGGGAGAGGTCAGCCTCTTCAACAAATAATTTTCTCTCCAGTGAAGTGCCCTGCTCTTGGGACCACACTATACCAGGCACCTCATTTCCATGTGCTTTGCAAGTGTCTTAAAGCCCAGCTTCCTATTAAGACCACATAAACGCAGTGAGCAGAGCCATTGCTGTTCCTGCTGCCACAGACACTCACAGATGGGGCACCTTTTGGTGCTGTATACCACCATCAGCTGCAGCACCCATAGAGAAGCCCACCCCACTCCCAAACTTCTGGCAAGAGAATTACCATGGCTTTGTCCTACCTTCAAGTAGGAGCCATAGTACCGGGTGATGTAGGGACTATCACACTGGCTGAGCACTGTAATCTCCTGCTGGATGTCCTCAATTTCATCCTCAGCCTCCTCCAGATCAATGATCTTGATAGCAACCACCTCCTTGGTGCGGTTGTCAATCCCTTTATAGACTTCACCAAACGATCCTTTGCCGATCCGCTCCAGCTTGGTGAACAGCTCCTCAGGATCCACCCTGGAGTGCTAAACCAGAAAGCAGAGATGGGAAACATCCATCAAGTCCCACGGCAGCCTGCAGAGCACCATGCATACCCATACAGCTCATCTCCCTATCTATGCATCTACTGTGTTGTTTAATTCACCTGAAACTCACATATCCTAAAAGATCTCCACATGCTGAGAAGCTTAACACAGAATATATCTAAGATTAGAAGAACTGAAGAAACCTTTTACATGGGCTTTCTGCCCCTGCAGACCATAGTGGGGAAAGAAGGGGACAGAAGCCCGGAAGGAGAATGTCAGCAAGTATCTCTACAGAAGGTGTCAGCACCTTTGGGACAGGACTGTTCAACTCCAGGCACTAAATTGGTGCCAAAGCAGCTCCATGAGCAAGCACTTGTTCACACTTGAATAGAGACAGGCAAGGCATACCAGAACCAGCCAGCTTTTGAAGATCCAGATGAGAAAATGGGCACAAGCAAGAGGCCATAAGAAGTTCACAAGGATGTTTCCCTAGACTGCCTTCCTGCATTCAGAGCTTGGCAAGATTTGAAAGATTTGCACCCTTCCCTACTTGTTTAGAGGGTGAAATACTCCAGTAATATAAGTACCAGTTCACATTAGCTGTCTTCTCTGCTACAGCCTGAGTTCCAAGCAGCACTCAGCCCCGCTCTCTTCAGATGTTTGCAGAGGGAGCCTCATGTCTTTTGGAAGGTCAGCAGCAAGTAGGCCAGACACCTGCCTATCCCAGAGGAGACGAGAGAGCTGAATGGACACTCCATCAGCAGACCTGCTTTTCTGGAACAGCCTCTCCTCTGGCTGGCACACCCAGATGCAAAAGCATTTCCCTCATTAGAAAAGCACATCAACTGGGAAGCTACCAACAGGATCATCAGAGAAATACTGACTCTTTAACAGCAGCTTCAAAAGTTAACTCTTTATTAAGATGAATACGGACAAGAAAGGGAAGAAATCAGAATCATTTTCTGATGCTATTTCATTCTGTCCAGCTGCAGACCAGGAAGTCCTGTTCTGCTTCATGCTACTAAAAGGCTCGTTGTGATTATTTTTTCTGCATTTTTTAAAAAATAAGTCTAGTTTTAAAAAAAAAAAAATCTGGAAAATATGGCCTGACCTACAGGAAGCAGCCAAGCTGTTACAGTGAGTTTTCCACACCCAGAACTTCTCAGTCTCACCTCCAAAATGTCACCCAGAGGGACCGCTACCTTGCAAGGGACTTGAGCTGGTAGAGATTTTATCTCAGAACAGGGCAGCTGCATTTTTCCATCCAACACCAGGATCTAGCAGCAGGCCATCACTGAGCAGCCCTAGGTGCTCCTTAATGATTAAGCCAGCCAGTCATTACAGGTTGTTTGCCTTCTGCGCCCAGTGCATCTCTATATGGAGTAAGCCAGGCCCAGAGTAAGCTTTACAGTCAGCTCGCTCAACAGGATTTCCATGTGCATTCCAGTCCAAGACACAGAAGGATAACCAAATATCCTTGTGCATCCATGGCAACACCCAAACAGGCTGTACTTTGAACAAGTGCACTGGAAACAGACTGGAGGGGATATGCAGAGATGAAAGGAACTGGAAATACATAACAGGGACTGGAGAGAGTGAGGCGGGGGAAAGAAAGAGGTTTTGAGCTTGAAAAATGCCAGAAGACAACATGAGAATGATGACTGCAGCACAGGGAGAACAGTCTGGCTAGTCCAGGCTCACAAGAGGCCAGGAGCCGTTTCCACCTCTTGACCAACCTACAGGAAGGGGCAGCAAGGTGGCCCAGATGTTACCTTGCACAGTCACCTACTGCACCGTAAAAATGCCATTCACCGTATCAGCCGCTCCCACACATCAGGGAGAAGGGAGAGAAAGAGGATCATCTCCTAGAAGCACCTGGCTCAGCTGGTAAAGGAAACACTATCGACATGAAACCTGCCAGGAAGCAACCCTGCAATAAAACCTTCCTCCCCTCCCGAGTAAGTAATTTTCCCATGAGAAAAGAAATGGCAAGGTGTAAGTTACTGCTCCCCTCCTCAGCCTGGCACATGAAAGAATTAGGACTGATTCTTCAAGAACAGGACATCAAACATAAGGGCACCAGCTACTGCAGGCAGCTTTTGGGACAATCACCGTTTTAGGTATCGGGCTCTGTGATCACGGACAGCTTTGTAAACAAGCTTCCATACTTCGATGTCAGTTTATCCCGTTTTCTGTGGAACAAAGCAGTTCAGGTCAAGGCAGTGAAGGAGACAAACCTTCCTGACAAGCACATGGAAACTTCGCCCAAGGGACTCAGGAAAATGATACAACTCTGATGGGCAGAAGAGACAGGCCCATCACATTAGGTTGGAACAGGGAACTTTGTAGGTACTGGATCTACCTTCCCAGTACCTGTCACTTCAAAACTGACCTGGAAATGCTTCAGAGCTCTCAGGAGACAGGGCAAGAGTATGACTCTACAGAGGGCCTCAGAACATGCATCCCTTGACAGAGCTTCCAAAATCACACAAGTCATACCCAGCAACAGCCAGAACCTAGTGAGCGAGTATGGGGCAAAGTGGCAGAGAGTCATTCCAGCCATGGTTACAGTCTCCTGGACACCTGCTGCAGTACCAGAGTTGGCTAATGAACTTCTTCACTTTCCGTAAACAGGGAGGAGGAAACAGGCCCATCCCCAATACAAGCAGGTCAATGTCTGCCCAGTGGAACACCTTGTGAACTACCGTTGTAGACACCACAGAAGACACTGCCAGATGGCATTTTCATGAAAGCAATCCTGAATTCCCATGACAAACTAAGATAGATAAAATGATGCTAGTCTGCAGGACATCTGCTCAAAAGCTCTTGTCCATTAAAAAAAAGTTCCCGTTTGAGCTGCCACATGGTAACTCACTGCTGATGAGCAAATGTTCAGATTGATGGGCATAGAAGCATCGGCACTCACCAGACCGCAGAACAAATGTAGTTATGCCAGGAATGGAGAGCTATGCAAATGCACCGCTCTGTCAGAAGAGAAGCATGCTGCTGCGCTCGGGGCGGGGGGCTCAAGTGGGGGGCATGGGAGAAGAACACGTTCTGTGTAGCCTGACTCTCCCCTACTCCAATAGATTTGCACCTGCAGAGCACTGCAATGAAGGGTCCAACAAGCACAATCTACCCCTTTTCTAAATACAAATTAATCTCAGTGCCAGCCTTATTATCAGATAATCACCCTGGCTGCAAAGTAGAAAGTAAGAGAATCCAGATAAAATGCTTTACACCTGCATAAGTGACCACAGATAACCCAAAGAAGCTTATTAGCACCTGTCAACTTTGCAACTGCTCACCAGCTTGGGATCTTTCCATTTTCTTCCACATTCACAGAACCCACCAGGGCTGCAAAATGGAGCTCCAGGCCAGAGTCTGAAGAGCTAGCTGACCAGCTGCTGCTCCTTGTTCTACTACAATGCGTAAAGCCTTTAAGGGATAGTCACCTCACTGTACCTTTTTGCTTGACTGAATGTCAATTACACAGCAGTTCTGGAGCAAAAAGCCTCATGCTGTTTCTCCCCATTGAGAGCAGTCAGACACTAGAGATGGTTCAGTCAGGCATGAACAGGCTTTGGGGGGAGAGCACACAAAGCACTATCTTGGTTGTATGCGCAGGAAGGGGAGGGAATAAGTATGAGAGGGATGAGGACAATCTACGAGTAATGTGCTCCACTTTTGCCCTCCAGGATCTAATCTCACAGCACAGGAAAGAAGGATGCTCTGTCATGACAGGTGTGGGAGTGTTTGCCATCACAACTGGTGATGCCATGTTTTAAAACAGAGCGACTCACTGCAGACATCAGGAATTAAGAATTGCAGTGTGTCTGGCAGTAACACCAGCTGCTTCATGGGGAAAGAATGGGTTTGGCAGCTCTGACACCTCCAGCTGCAGAGACGTGATATCCACAGCCTTTGAGAGACTACAGAAGAAGGGTAAATAGCTACCCTGGAAAGGGTAGCTACCACCTGGAAAGATAAGCTGCGTACCGGGAACAGAAGCAAATACCCTTTGAACCAGCTTAAGGTCTCTTCTCTGGGCTGTGTCCGGCTGGATCTCACTCTCAAAAGAGTCATATTGAGCATCATGAGCAAGAGTCACACCTGCATCTGCCGCATAAAACACTGAGAGGTACTTAAACCCTTTAGAAGTGAGAGTTCCTTGGTCTGGGGCAGTTCAGTATCAGAATCACTGTTCTATATGGGAGAAGTCTGTAACAGAAAAAGATTGTCATGGACATAGTAGTTTGAGAGCTGAAGCTGACTGGGAGTTTAGCAGCCTCCAAAGGTTTATATGGAACTACAGCGGCATTTAGTGTTATTTCTGACTAGAGCACTTTCCAACCAGACAAACAAACATAATTTTCCTCTGCCAAATGCAGTGGAAGGAGGAAGTTGGTTTTAATAAACCTCAACTACTGACCTTCTTTCCTTCATTGCCTCCTCTCCTCCCCAACTTCCCATCCAGCATTTACCCACATTGCATGCTACACGCTAACCTCTGGGCCACCAACAGAGATATCTGCAGCAGGCACTATGTTCTCTTTGGGGAAATCAGCTTTGTATCTGGAAATGTGGAAGCTTCCCTGTCTATATGAAATTTGTACATGGCTCTTTTCAACTGCTAAACCTGAGACAGTTTTGAACTTCTGGAGTACAGACAAGAGGGAAGTTTGTGTTCAACACTTTGAAATACACAAATTTGTCTGAAACTCCCAACTTGCTCCGCAGATAGTATTATTTGCTTCAAGGGAGTGAAGCATTACTTAACCAGAGAACTTGAATGGCTTCTTCAAGGTCACATAGGGAACAACAAAACTAGAAACAGAGCTCAGAAGAGAGCTT